CACATTATCTGCTTTGAACTGGATCATATGAGTTTACCTTGTCATATAATGGATTTTATATTGCAATGTAGAAGGGACCTTATTTAAAAGGCAAACTGATACTCTTGGAAACTTGAAGCTTTTCCACATCCAGGGAAAAGCGTGGATGAGCTCCCTCCGTCAGCTCCAGCTTCCCATGTAGGGACATGAGAGAAGCCTCCAACAAGGATGGTAAAAGCATCAAACATCCGGGCATCCCCTGGGCAACATCCTTGCAGACGGCCAATTCTCTCACACCAGAAGCAACTTCAGTTTCTCAAGTCGCTCTTGACACACACAAAAATATGACTTTGTATCCTGGGTCTATTTTTTAATGTCATAACAACACACAGCTTTTATGCTGCTGTAATTTTACAATACAGCTAGTGTTTGTCACAGCCTTTGTAATCCAGTCAAGAGAGAGAATGATGTCTTGAGAAACACAAAGCTGAAATGTGTTCAAATACACAATTTATTAACACCAACCATCAAAGACATAGTCTACTAAATTACAAAGTAGCAGACCTCTTATGACTTCTGATGTGTTGTTTTGAGTTATGTGATATAGCCTCTCCATGACTGTATTTAAACAACTGTCACAAAACAGACGTATGACACTCTAGCTTAGGGAAATGGAATAAGTGAGTCACTAATAACAGCTGATAATAAAAACATACCAAAACAATATTCACGGGCCTACGCGAAACTTCCTCTGACTCATGCATGATGCCAAGTTCTCAGGAAAAGCTAATAAACATTCAAAAGGGTTGTTATTTCCTTTACCATTGTCTCCCATCCTTTTTAGGCTGTTTCCAAGCAGTTGCTTTGATTTTATTTCCACATACACCAATGTGATTCAGTAATATTTCTGACTCCGTTGCACTGTTTACTCATAGATGGGTAACACTGGCAACAATTTCAGTAATGGACAAATAAACTTTCATCTTTTGTTTTGTTTTTAAAAGTTCTCATTGACAGTGGGTGAAAAAATTATAAAATAATGTCCATCAATCAGTCAAGACATATATACAGCACTGTTTGGGTTAGACAATTTGTTAAGTTATTTATTAGAAATACTAATTGTTTGCTATTCAATTTTATGAATAGTCCCCATTAGAAAATGAATATCCATATAATGGTATCTTTTATAAAAGTGTACACCTGATGAGCTGCAACTCTCATTAGCCCAAGACCTGATCAAGCTGCAATTCCCATCAGCCCCTGATCTAAGTGGCTGGAATTCCCATCAGCCCCTGATCTAAGTGGCTGCAACTCCCATCAGCCCCACAACTATGTGGCTGCAACTCCCATCAGCCCCACAACTAAGTGGCTGCAACTCCCATCAGCCCCTGATCTAAGTGGCTGCAACTCCCATCAGCCCCACAACTAAGTGGCTGCAACTCCCATCAGCCCCTGATCTAAGTGGCTGCAATTCCCATCAGCCCCAGATCTAAGGGGCTGCAACGCCCATTAGCCCCAGATCTAGCCAGGCTGCAAGTGGTGGCTATCCTAACTGGTCAGGCAGCTCAGCCTTATTGTTGATATGTCAACTGTCTTCATTCCCAGTCTGCCTATTGATGGGCTAAGGAAGTTTGGAGATGCAGCCTGGCAAGTAGGGTGAGCAAGTAGGGTTAGGGTTAGAACCATGTCCTCAGTTATGTGTGGGAACCATGCAGCTCTCTGAATGTAACTGGACTCCAATTCCCATCATCCTCTATACCCCCCCCCCCAAAGAAAAATCCTCACCAGTATTTTAAGTAGGGTTTGTTGGAAATGCCATCAAAAAGGATTTTTTTTACCATATGTCATGGACATGGCCTAAGGCCCAAAATTCTGGATTATAATTCATAACAACATTGAAAATAAGTTTTAAAAATTAAGATACTTCTAGGGCCAGATGCATTTTATTGGGATTTATAAATGCAGTATTGCAAGGATTGTATATGCCATTTTTTTGAAACAATAATGATTGGAACGCTGACTGGCACAACCTGGGGATCGCAACCGGATACAGTGATGACATCTGCCCTTGTGCTTTGCCACTCTTCTGCTGAATACACATGCCCAGTGTGGAATACATCTCACCACGTTAAAACAGTGGATGTGGCTCTTAATGAGACATGCCACATTATCACAGGATGTCGACGCCCTACACCACTGGAGAAATTATACTGTTTAGCCGGTACTGCACCACCTGACATCCATCAGGAAGTAGCAGCCAGTAATGAAAGAACCAAGGCATTGACATCTCCAGCCCATCCTCTGTTTGGATATCAGCCAGCATGCCAATGCCTTAAATCAAGAAACAGCTTTCTAAGATCTACAGGGATACTTGCAGGAACACTTCAGCAAGCAAGAGTCCAAAAGTGGCAGGTTAAAACCCGGAACCTCAATCAGTGGCTGATACCAGATGAGAAACTCCCTCCTGGGCAAACCACAGACCATTTACTACAATGCACTGTGAGCCCTGCCACACCCACAATAGAGGACCTTCTCACAACACCAGAGGCACTCCAAGTGGCCAGCATCTGGTCTAAGGACATTTAGTATAATGCCAAGTTTTTAACTTAGTTTGTGTTTTTTTAAAATACATTATAACTATATTCTCAATTTGATTCTGACATGATAAATATATATTGGAAACAAGAAGAAATTTCCACAAGATTTGTGGATAACAAAAATGATGGATCTGGCAGAGATGGACAAACTGACAATGCTATACGATCACCAGACCCTTCCAAGTTTAAAGAAGATTGGTAGCCTTTTACTGTCTTTTTAAAAGAAGAGAAGCAAATAAAAACATTGGGTCTTTTTTACATTAGTAAGAAAACTTTATCAAATATATAAAATCCCACATGAAGAAAATCCCATAGGAATCACCTTCTGCGCCTTGTTCTAGAAAAAGATATCTGAATTGCTGAAAACTCTAACTATCCATGCAATATAATACAGGGGTGATGCAACCATCTACAAGAAGCCCAAAGTGGGCATCCTGAGTTGTTTTCCAGAATACAGATGTTTTGCCTGGAAATGGTACAAGAAGGTGGTTCCTGTGGAATGTTTGTGGCTTGTTTCATTGCAGCTCTGTAATCTTGCAGTGTAAACTTCTGGATTTGGAGAACATGACTATTTGGAAAACAGACATTTGGGGCCTTTTAGGGTCATACAGATGGCTGCAGTGGATGCAAGAAGGGAGTTCTTTGAGTCTCTTTTTAGAGAGATAAAGTGGGGTTTTATTATCATCATCATCATTGGGGGGGGAGGTTGTGGCATCACTTCCATTTATTATTATTCCATCAATAATAATAATAATAATATCTAATTTTTAGATTAAGATGCAAAGTGGCTATCAAGGCCTCTTCCATACAGCTGTATAAACTCCACATTGAACTGGATTATATGGCAGTATGGACTCTGAGCCCTTCCAGAGAGGCTCTATATCCCAGGATCTGATTCTGCTTTAAACTCGATTCTGCACTGCTAGATAATATAGGATAAACAAAAAACCAGGGATCAGATCCTAGGACATAGGCCTGTCTGGAAGGGTCCTCAGATAAGGTTGTTTATATTGTTTAATGTGCCTTCCCTTGATGTAAACTGTTTGTCTAGTTCTCTTTTGGCACTGAATGGTTGCCATATTGTTGGAAAGCAACCTGAGTCCCTTCGGAGAGATAGGGCAGCCTATAAATAAAGATGATGATGATTATATACACAACAAGATGAGTCCACAGCAGACACTCTGCTGGCTGTTGTATTGGATCACACGTCGGACACTTCCCAAGTGTCTAGGACTGGTTGATGTATCGGCAAATAATGCGTGCAGATCCCAGTAAGGTGGCCTTTTGCAGCTGGCAGATGGTAATTTTGTCAGCGCCGATTGTGTTTAAGCGCAGGCCAAGGTCTTTAGGCACAGCACCCAGTGTGCCGATCATCACTGGGACCACCTTGACTAGCTTTGCAGTTCAATCTTTAAATCCTCATAGCGTGTCAGCTTTTCCAGTTGTTTCTCTTCAATCCTGCTGTCACCTGGGATTGCAACATGGACAATCCATACTTGGTTTTTTAACACGATCGTGAGATCAGGAGTATTGTGCTCCAAAACTCTGTCTGAATCTGGAAGTCCCAGAGTAGCTTGATGTGTTCATTTTTTGTAACTTTTTCCGGCTTGTGATCCCACCAGTTCTTTGTCGCAGGCAGATGGTATTTGTGGCACTGATTCCAACTAATCATCTGAGCAACGGTGTTATGCCTCTGCTTGTAGTCTGTCTACGCGATCTTCTTGCAGCACCTGAGGATGTGACATGTTGTTTCATCCTCTTCCTTGCAGTCTACACTTGGGGTCTGTCGTCGACTTTTCAAATCTGGCTTTGATGGCATTGGTTGGAATGGCTTGTTCTTGGGCTGCCAGAATCAGGCCCTCCGTCTCCTTTTATTGAGCCCCCTACCGGCTGTTAGGAATTGTGGGAGTTGGAGTCCAAAACACCTGGATGGCCAAAGTTTGCCCATGCCTGCTATAGAATGATTTATTTTATTTATCGTGTCATCAGCAACCATACCATTGTATGGTTGCTATAGAATGATGGTTGGGAGTTTCACTAAGAGTTAAGTGCCAAAGAGTGCTGGTACCTCCACAAACTACAGCTCCCAAGATTCCACAGTATTTCTCCACAGGGCAGTTAAAGTGGTGTCAAAGTGTGTTAATTCCAAAGTGTGGATGCACCCGTGATTCTCAAGATCTCTCTCTCTCTCTCGATAGATAGAAATCTATCTATCTATATTTCTATATATATATTCTATATATATATTTGAAGAAGTTGGGCTCCTATATTCCTGGGACTGCATATTCCCAAAGTGCAAGGGCGCATCCTCCAGCCAGAAGTCTCCGTTTCAGCCATGATGGACTGATTCGAAACCGGGAGGCCAGGCAAGCATGGCCGCTGCGTGGGCGTCTCCACAATCTGTGGAAGAGGAAGGCTAGCCTGCCCTCGTGAGACGAGTGCGCATGCGCAAAGCTGAAAGCCAAGGGAATGAATTCGGAGGCGCAGGTAAGGCTCCGCGGAGAGAGAGAGAGAGAGAGAGAAAGCGAAGGAAGAGCGGGGGGGCGGGGGGGGGCTATAGACGTAGAAACAGAAAGAACGCTCCCTTATGTCCCCCAGTTTGGTTGCTCTTCTTCCCTTTCCCCTTGAGCCTCCTTGCTTTTGTGCCACGCTGCTTCCCCATTCATCGACCATCTTTTGAAAGGGCTTTCCCCCATCAACCTCCTTTGGGTTGGGCGCAGTGTTGCCCGAACTCAAGCCCTCCAGGCGGTTTGGACTTCAACTCCCAGAATTCCTGCGCGTTGAGCGAAAGCGCTGAGGCTTCTGGGAGTTAAAGTCCAAAACCCCTGGAAGAGCAGTGTTTAGGTTCTAGGAAGGGAAGACATGCTATTCTGCCTTGGTTAAACCACACCTGGAATATGGTGTCCAATTCTGGGCACCACAATTGAAGAGAGATGCTGACTCTAAGCTGGAATTTGTCCAGAGGAGGGTGACTAAAATGATCAAGGGTCAGGAGAACAAGCCCTATGAGGAGCAGCTTAAAGAGCTGGGCATGTTTAGCCTGAAGAAGAGAAGGTTGAGAGGAGACATGATGGCCATGTATAAATATGTGAGAGGAAGTGATAGGGGGGAGGGAGCAAGCTTGTTTTTTGCTGCCCTGGAGACTAGGACGCGGAACAATGGCTTCAAACTACAAGAAAGGAGATTCCACCTGAACATGAGGAAGAACTTCCTAACTGTGAGAGCTGTTCAGCAGTGGAACTCTCTGCTGCGGAGTGTGGTGGAGGCTCCTTCTTTGGAAGCTTTTAAACAGAGGCTGGATGACCATCTATCGAGGATGCTTTTCCTGCTTCTTGGCAGGGGGTTGGACAGGATGGCCCACGAGGTCTCTTCCAACTCTATGATTCTAAGGGAGTTTTGGGTTTGGCGAGGCCTCAGCGCTCTTTGACAGCGAAGGCTCAAGACCTTGTAAAGCTACGGCCCTCATGATCCCATAGCATGGCACTTAAAGTGGTATCAAAGCGAATTAATTCTGCAGTGTAGATGTGCCCTCCATGTGTTCCATCTTTCCAGAGACTCCTCATCAATTCCAACTCCTTGAGTTTGGATTGGAGTAAGCAGTGGAGGAAAAATGTATTATTGAAGGCTTTCATGGCCGGAATCACTGGGTTGCTGTGAGTTTTCCGTGCTGTATGGCCTTGTTCCAGAAGCATTCTCTCCTGACATTTCGCCTGCATCTGTGGCAGGCATCCTCAGAGGTTGTGAGTGGAGGGAAAGTCTTCTTCACTTGCATTGCAGAATTAATGATGTTTGATACCACTTTAACTGCCATGGCCCAATGTTATGGCATCAGGGGAGTTGTAGTTTCACAAGGTCTTTACTCTTCCCTTCCATGTTTGGTCAAACTACAAAGTCCCATAATTCCATAGCAATGTGCCTTGGCTGTTAAAATTCTACCAAACTGAATTCTGCATTGTAGAGCTGGCATGGGACAACTTGGGCCCTCCAGGTGTTTTGGACTCCAATTCCCACAATTCCTAACAGCCTAAGGTCCTTTCCTTTCTCCCTCAGCCAATTAAGAATGTTGGAATGTTGAGGCTGGCCAATCAGAAACCATATGCAAATTAGTAGGTTGAGATAACTCGAGCATGGGCCAAGTTGGGCCCTCTGGGTGTTTTGGACTTCAACTCCCACCATTCCTAACAGCCTCAGGCCCTTTCCTTTTCCCTCTCAGCCACTTAAGCGGGGGGAAAGGAGGGGGAAAAGGAAGGGGCCTGAGGCTGTTAGGAATGGTGGGAGTTGAAGTCCAAAACACCCAGAGGGCCCAACTTGGCCCATACCTGTTGTAGATGCACCCTATGACAACATATTATTTAACTAATAAATTAAGAGGGTAAGTTTGTTGTTGTTGTTGTGCGCCTTCAAGGTGTCTCTGACCTATGGCAACTCTAAGATGAACCTATCCCAGGGTTTGGCAAGATCTGTTTGCCTTTGGTTCCCTCTGAGGCCGAGAGAGTGTGGCTTGCCTAAGATCGCCCGGTGGGTTTCCATGGCAGGCTGGGAATTGGAATCCTTGTCTCTGGAATTGTGATCCAGCACTCAAACAACCACGTCACATGAGTTCAGCTTCTTGTGTGTAGAAATAACTTTTGAAAGAGTTGGGTGATACGGTTGAGAAATTAGGGAAACCTTTTATTTGAGTTCGAGTTCATCCTTCTCAGAGTGTTTTGTAATCTGCTGACCTCATTTTTTACACCAGCCATAAAAACTAGCTGGAATCTTTTGAATACATAGGAAAAGAGATTAGAGCTGGTTGACAATGGAAAATGCTGCCTGGGAGTGTGATGGAGTCTCCTTCTCTGGAGGTTTTTAAGCAGAGGCTGGATGGCCATCTGTCAGAAGGGCTTTGATTGTGTCTTTCTCTATGGCAGAATGTACTACATGGCCCTTGGGGGTGTCTTCCAACTCTATATTATACATATTTTCCATTATTTGCAAGTTAATGTAGTTTTACTTTGACTATACGAGTAGTAGAGTCTCGCTTATCCAACATAAACAGGCCAGCAGAACGTTGGATAAGCGAAATTGTTGGATAATAAGGAGGAATTAAGGAAAAGCCTATTAAATGCCAAATTACGTTATGAATTTACAGATTAAGCACCAAAATATCATGTTTTACAACAAATTGACATAAAAAGCAGTTCAATACACGGCAACGTTATGTAGTAATTACTGTATTTATGAATTTAGCACCAAAACATTGCAGTGTATAGAAACAGCTGTGAATCTGGGTGGGAGGCAGACTACATTGGATTATACAGAACGTTGGATGAGCAGAGGTTGGATAAGCGAGATAAGCCCCCGGTGCGATTCTGGGAATTGAAGTCCAATAATAATAATAATAATAATAATAATAATAATAATAATAATAATAATTTATTTGTACCCCGCTACCATCTTCCCTGGGTCCCCTGGTGGTGCAGTGGGTTAAATCGCTGAGCTGCTGAACTTGCTAACTGAAAGGTCAGTGATTTGAATCTGGGAAAGGGGTGAGCTCCCACCATTAGCCCCAACTTCTGTCAACCTAGCAGTTCGAATACATGCTAATGTGAGTAGATCAATAGGTACCACTTCTGCGGGAAGGTAACGGCGCTCCATGCAGTCATGCTGGCCATGTGACCTTGGAGGTGTCTATGGACAACTCCGGCTCTTCGGCTTAAAAATGGAGATGAGCACCACCACCCCTCCCCCGAGTCAGGCACGACTAGACTTAATGTCAAGGTGAAACCTTCACTAATATAGAATCAGAGACTATATTATAAAAATGCACATGGATTTTTAATAGATATTCAAATAATAATTGATAAAACTATGTGAATGTTTACAGCAACTATTTCCAAGACACTGTGCTCTCTTCTTAAGTTCCAGGATGCCATACAATGCAAGATCATGTGCTTCCAATGTGACCAATCTAGTGCCTTCGGTTTAAGACAGTGACTGCTCTGATGTGCATCGATTCTTCACGGTGTCTTCTCTGCAAGGTCTCGTATCTCGTTTATGTCATTTAATGTTTTCTTATGCAAAGTGTACCCTGCTGAAGCAAGGCCTAACTATAACTGCTCACTGGTGGGAATTGAGATGCCCTGTGAAGCTGTGCATGGGATTGTTTCTCTTTCCCTTCCCCGAGAGAAAAGAGGAAGCTTTGCAGAAGAAGCAACCTCTTACCTGGAAACTATAGGCTTGGCTCTGTGGTGAGAGTCGGGAGAAGGAAGTGGGTGAGATAATGAGCACTATGTGCTCTCTTTAGAATGAAACCTGCTTCGCAGACTGGGGAAGATGCACTCCAGTGGAATGCTTTTTCTTTCTGGCCTTCTGCCTTGGACAAACAGATTGCAAAAGAAAGCCAGTCCAGCCACTTCCAGTGTGTTCCCTAAGTAATTGAATCGGATCTGGCTGTCTAACCTTTCTAAGACTGGATCTACACTGCCATATAATGCAGACATATGGACAGTGTAGCTAGACTCATATAATGCAGTAGGAACTTAATTGAATTCCATTATATGGGTCTACACCAGTGTTTCTCAACCTGGGGGGTTCCGAGGGAGGTCACCAAAGGCCATCTGTTGGTCATGGGGGTTCTGTGTGGGAGGCTTGGCCCAATTCTATCGTTGGTGGGGTTCAGAATGCTCTTTGATTGTAGGTTAGCTATAAATCCCAGCAACTACAACTCCCAAATGTCAAGATTTATTTCCCCCAAACTCCCCCAGTGTTCACATTTAGACATACTGAGTATTCATGCCAAGTTTGGTCCAGATCCAGCATTGTTTGAGTCCACCGTGCTCTTTGAGTGTAAGTGAACTACAATTCCAAAACTCAAGATTAATGCCCACCAAATCCTTCAAGTATTTTCTGTTGGTAATAGATTTTCTGTGTCAAGTTTGGTACAATTCCCTCATTGGAGGAGTTCAGAATGCTCTTTGATTGTAGGTGAACTATAAATCCCAGCAACTACAACTTCCAAATAACAAGGTCTATTTTCCTCAAACTCCACCAGTGTTCACATTTGGGCATATTGAGTATTCATGCCAAGTTTGCTCCAGATCCATCATTGATTGAGTCTACGGTGTTCTCTGGATGTACAACTCCAAAACTCAAGATCAATGCCCACCAAATCCTTCCAGTATTTTCTCTTGGTCATAGGTGTTCTGTGTGCCAAGTTTGGTACAATTCCATCATGGGAGGAGTTCAGAATGCCCTTTGATTGTAGGTGAACTACAAATCTCAGCAACTACAACTCCCAAATGACAAAATCAATCCCCCCAACCCCACTAGTATTCAAATTTGGGCATATTGGATATTTGTGCCAAATTTGGTCCAGTGAATGAAAATACATCCTGAATATCAGATATTTACATTATGATTCATCACAGTAGCAAAAAGTAGAGTCATGAAGTAACAACGAAAATAATTTTATGGTTGGGGTTCACCGCAACATGAAGAACTATCTTAAGGGTTCACGGTATTAGCTATGTTTCTTTCAGCTGTATTGTTTTTGTATTGCTTTCAATTGTGCTATTATTTGTTTTGTCTGATGTTTTAATTGGTTAAAGTGTTTTGCTTGTGTGTTTTAATTGTAATCTTTGGCTTGTCCCTTGTAAGCCGTCCTGAGTCCCCTAGGGGAGATGGTTGGTGGGTATAAAAATAAAGTTATTATAATATTATTTAAGGTTGAGAGCCACTGGTCTACACTGACCGTATAAAGCAGTTCAAACTGCATTATTTGGAAATATAGATCCAGCCTAAGCTCAGCCTCCATTGTGATCTCATCAAACTTAGATGCACCGGAGTGGTTAATCTATTTGGTAAGCTATGTTTAAAATGACCTCTCCCCCTGCATGTTCCTTCAACCTGTGATGTACTTCCCAACCTGAAACACAAGATGCTTGGACTTGCCTGGCATCCTTCAGCCTGACACAGCTTGATCAGTGGACAGGGATGGTTTGGAACTGGTCCAGAACATTTGGAGGCCATCTGGGCATACTAATGTAAATCATGATTGCAAATCCTTTGTTTTTCCTGGTATTTTGGACTACAGTCCCTTCTCCATTGGTTTTGCTGGCCAATTCCAAAACTTTTGAAAGGGGAAAATGCAGGCATTAGTACGCTTGCTTCAATCATTAGTGATAACCCTCTTTGCTGAGCAGTTCATGGTAACTAAAGTATAGCTCCATTTTCTGCAAGCCATATCTCCATTCAGGTCTTTGAGTCATGCTTTGCCTTTTCACTTTAGGTATCTGTTTATCTTGGTTTCCCACAAACAGTGAAATGTTGGCAGATACCAAAGCACTGAGGGCATTTGTCTCAGTGCATAGTACAACCATGGAAGTGTTGTAGTCTGCTGTGATTGTTGTTGCCATACGATACCTTGGCTTAGTAAAATGACTTTGTCACTGTAAGACAGCCTTAGCCTTTAAATCCTATTACAATCAATCCTTTTTGGTATCACACACCAAAACTGTCTGCTGTGGGATTTGATCTGATGCTTTGAAGAAAGTGCAAGAGTCAGATCTAGAAACTGAACCATCTATCTTTGTTCTTGTTGATTCTCTCTAACAGAGGTAACAATGATTTGGCCTCAACCACGAACTTGCTGGTGTTGGCATGAGAGACCCAGCTGGGACTGGAGGTGATGTGGGCAGCCAAAGGATTCTGAGCCAGCCGCCATGGGTTTCAGGCTCCTAGCCTGTCTCTTCAACCTGCCTGTTGCTGTCGTCTATGGTTCCTTGTCGCTTTTTATTTCTATTCTGCACAATGTATTCCTCCTTTACTACGTGGACACCTTTGTTTCTGTATACAAGATTGATAAACTTTCCTTTTGGATTGGAGAGGTAAGTTTTAGACTGTGGGAATAATTGTTGGATCTTGCATGCCAGCTTTCCCAGAACTATGAACTAACTTGTGGTGGAGGCTCCTTCTTTGGAGGCTTTGAAACAGAGGCTGGATGGCCATCTGTCGGGGATGCTTTGAATGTAATTTTCCTGCTTCTTGGCAGGGAGTTGGACTGGATGGCCCACAAAGTCTCTTCCAACTCTATGACTGTATGATTTCTGAGACAAATAAATGTCTAACTTGTATAGAAAAAAGAATCCAGTATCAAATATGTGAACCAATTTACTGGAGCCCCCAGTGGCACAATGGGTTAAACCTTAGTACCGGCAGGACTTCTGTCCGAAAGGTCGGTGGTTCGAATCCAGGGAGTGGGATGAGCTCCTGTCTGTCAGCTCCAGCTTCTCATGCAGGGACATGACAGAAGCCTCCCACAGGATGGTAAAACATCCGGATATGCCCTGGGCAATGTCCTTGCAGATGGCCAATTCTCTTACACCAGAAGCGACTTGCAGTTTCTCAAGTTGCTCCTGTGACATGAAAAAAAATAAACATACAATTTACTTAGATCATATAAGGTGTATATATGTGTAGATGGCATACACATATAATACACACAAACAAATGCACACATATATTTGTTGTTGTGCACCTTATCATTTCTGATTTATGGGAATCCCAGGGCAAACTTGTTACAGGTTTTCTTGGGAAAACATATTCAGGGATGGTTTGCCATTGCTTTCCTCTAAGCCTGAATGAAATAATGTGACTTACTCAGTCAGTGGATTTTCACGACTGACTAGGAATTTGAACCCTAGTCTCCTAGGAGGCCGAGGGCCGTTCCACACAGCCATATAACCCAGAATATCAAGGCAGAAAATCCCACAATATCTGGTTTGAACTGGGTTATCTGAGTCCACACTGCCATATAATTCAGTTCAAAGCAGATAATACCTATAATATTCAGCAGTGTGGAAGGGGCCAATATTGTAGGATGAATCCACTTTAATTGCTTTGATTCAGTGCTATGGAATCCTGGTGGTTGTAGCTTGACAAGGTTTTGAGCCTTCTCTGCCAAAGAGTGTTGGTTCCTCACCAAACTACACATCCCAGAATTGCACAGATGAGGTCCCTCAAAGAGGAGCTCCAGGTGCACCTCCTGAAGCAGTTTCCTCTTTTGCTTTGCCTCAGAACTAAGATTACCATATGACACAAATCTAATGCACATCCCAATTTTTGCAAGGTCATTTAGCCAGAAAAGGTGAGCATTACATTTGTGTAAATACGGTATATTGAAATATACACACATATGTATATTGAAATGTGTAGAACAGTAAAGTGAAATAGCCATGATAAACAAAAAGTACAGTCTGTGATCATTCTATGTAAAGTTTAAAATGAACAGTGTTGTTTCAATATAGCAAAAACTGCGGTGGAAAAAAAATAGACAATAGGCATAGAAAAGTTGTTTGTGTAGATGGGCATTTCAGTTATTGCTTACATACAGTTGACTGGTAATAATTTCCAGAGAGTTAACTATCATGCTGTTATAAAAGAAAGCAATGAGTCATTTTTGTACCTTAGCAGACAGTTTTATTACAGTATATATTTAGGAAATGGAATTTGAAATATTTAACCTCAGTTTCAGTCTCACTGGGTGTCTTATTTCCCCCCCTCTAGACAGTGTTTTTGATCTGGAATAGCCTCAATGACCCTCTGTTTGGCTGGCTGAGCGACCGAGCTTTCCTTAGCACACAACAGTAAGCAGAATTTTGCTGATGTTCCACACTGACAGTTAACTTGGTGTAATATTTATAAAAGGAGGGGCAATCCCATTTTATGAACGTGTGCAAAAGAAGGACATTTCTCTGGATATGAAATTCACTTTGTCACTTGTCACTTCGTAACTTTTTTAACTTGTCATTTCATTTTTTTCCCTATTGGATATCATTTTTTGTTAGATGTTCTGCCTTGTTGTTAAAAGGGTAGTATAAACAAATTAAAAATATACATGAAATAAATTGATAATTTATTGAATGCTGGCAAGCCATTTGCACTATGACAACTATGATATATTTTTAACAAACACCTTAAATTCAATTCATTTCTAACTGCTTTTAATGATATATGTTTAATGTGTACTAATGTCCTAGTTTATTGTCTAACTGGTTTACTGCTACCTAGTTCCCATTTCATTAAAACTTGTGCGCCAGCTGCGCCTGTACCTTGGGAAGCCTGATCTGGACACGGTGGTCCACGCTCTGGTTACATCCCGGATAGATTACTGCAACGCGCTCTACATGGGGTTGCCGTTGAAGACTGTTGAGAAACTTCAACTAGCCAAACGGGCAGCAGCCAGGTTACTAATTGGAGCGACATACAGAGAGCACACCACCCCCCTGTTGTGCCAGCTCCACTGGCTGCCAGTCCACTTCTGAGCACAATTCAAAGTGCTGGTCTTGGCCTATAAAGCCCTATACGGTTCTGGCCCAGCCTACCTGTCCAAATGTATTTCCCTCTATGTCCCGCCTCGTAGCTTAAGATCGTCCGGGGAGGCCCTGCAACTCATGACAAGATAGAAAAAGATATAACTAAATATGGAAACTGTGATACCATTAAAACAAGATTAAACAATTATATGGTTACAACAGGACTGAATTGTCAACAGTGAAACAGCACATCATTGTAAAGCGCAGCACTCTCGGGTGCCAGATCTGGCCATGGTAGTCCACGTCTTAGTCACATCCAATTTGGATTACTGCAGTGTGCTCTATGTGGGGCTGTTTTTGAAGATAGTTTGGAAGCATCAACTGATAAAGAGATCAGCAGCTAGATTACTAACAGGGGCTCCACACAGGGAGAGAACCCATGTTCCGGTAGCTCCGCTGGCTGCAAGTTAGCTTCCGAGCTAAATACAAACTGCTGTTTATTACCTTTGTTTTCATGTCAGGAGCAACTTGAGGAACATCAACCAAGAACCAATGAGTTCTATGATAACAATCAGTTTCTGAGTATGGGTGGGAGGACTGGTGCAAGGACAACCTTCTGATCCCAATTCAAGGTGCAGGTGCTTATCTACAAAGCCCTAAACGGTTTGGGACCTGCCTACCTGCGTGACCGCATCTCCGTCTATGAACCAACGCGCTCCCTTCGTTCATCCGGAGAGGCCCTGCTCGCGATCCCGCCTGCGTCGCAGGCTGTTTGGTGGGGATGAGGGACAGGGCCTTTTGTGTGGTTGCCCCCAACTTTGGAACTCCCTCCCCAAAGACATTAGATTAGCACCCATGTTAGCAGTCTTTAGGAAGAGCTTGAAGACCTGGCTATTCCGATGTGCCCTTCCGGAATAGGAAAACCCCAGCACTATGTCCCAGAAGCACTTTATTAGAGTTTAAGATTCTCTGCTCATTGCACTTGCCCAGAAATCCAACATACCACCTGTCACACCCAGCACTTTTTAATCTGTACCCATCACTTGGCCCGGCCCTGGTTTTTACTGTGTTATGGTGTAATGTTTTGTTGTTATTGCTTTATGTTTTTGATTTGCTTTGAATTGTATTGTTGTTATTATGCTGTTGTTGTGTTGAGGCCTTGGCCTGTGTAAACCGCATCGAGTCCTTCGGGAGATGCTAGCGGGGTACAAATAAAGTTTAATAATAATAATAATAATAATAATAATAATAATAATAATAATAATTGTGAGGATAGGGCCGATGGATTAAGGGCATAGATCACATGACAGCAGTGAAAATAGAGGGCAGTATGAGAATAGAGCATTATGAATTTAATAGCAGAACAATAATAAAGTGCAAGGACAAGCTCCTTACCTTAACATGCAGCTGGTTGGATAAAAGAGGCTGATGGAGTGGGAGCAATAAGGAGGTGACTAGGCGAGCCTACATTGGAAGGGAATCTCATAGTCTGAGGAGCAGACCCTTTTAAAGCTGACCTTACACATTACGATGAGATTGTTCAAAAAAGGAAAACGCAATTATGGATAACACACAATTGGCAAGGAGGAAGTTCACCAAATCGAAGGCTTTTGGTTTTCTGTTTTAATGGACAACGTGTTGTTGTTTTTTGCTTGTAGATCTGGAGTAGAGATCTCCAATCCAGAAGTGATCTTGAAGAGACTGAAAGCACTGAGCCAGAATGGACCCCTCTTTGCTATATCATTCCTGGCGTTCTGGATCGCATGGGCCCACCCAGGCTTGCAATTCCTCATCTGCCTCTGCCTGTACGACAGTTTCCTTACTATGGTGGATCTCAATCAGAATGCCTTACTTGCGGACCTTGCTGTATCCGCGACGGACAGGACTGGTCTCAACTTCTATTCTTCACTCTTCAGTGCCATTGGTTCCCTCTCCGTATTCATGTCCTATGCTGTGTGGAACAAAGAGGATTTCTTCTCCTTCCGGATATTTTGTGTGGTGCTGGCTTTTTGCTCAGCCATTGGATTTACAGTAGCTACATGGCTCCTTAGACAAAGATTTCAGACGGAGGGACGAGTGAAGTGGGATGAAAATGCAGCTTTAAAAGAGTGAGTGGTCTGGTGATGTGTAATTCCTGTCCTAGTTTTTAAATTCATTTCCTAATGAGCACAATGCACCCATTGATGTTTATACCAGCCATGTGACCCTGAATGTTTCCAGTCTGTTCTGATTTTGCAAACTAAACTATGCAGCTAATTAGTATTTGAAGGGAAAACCAGCAGAGAATACCTGGGATCTCTAGGCAATACTAGGATGAATTCTGTTTAAATTCCTGGAGAGCTGAGGATGTGGATAACTGCCAATCTGAGTTGGCAAAATTGGACTAGCTGGATCAATTGTCTTACAATTAAAGGCAACTTCCTGCATTCTTGAGGTGTCAAATACAGGTGGATGCCATCTGCTTTCTCAGCCATTTCTGGATTTTGTCTGGATTTCTATTACTTGTCTTTTGAAATAGCTGGCACAAATTATTGTCACCTGGCATACATTAATCTGAGTATGGGCAAGCACATCAAGACTTTTAATTATGTGCCTTGAGTTTGACTCTGACTTACGATTTATTTATTTATTTATTTACTCACTCACTTACTTACTTCACTTATATACTGCTTTTCTCCCCCCATCGGGGAACTCAAAGTGGTTTTCAACATAATTATGGCAAAATTTAATGCCTCACCTACAGAAACCTAACATAATTATAATAACTATTTATTTATTTATTTACAACATTTATATGCTGCCCTTCTCACCCCAAAGGGGATTTAGAGCGGCTTACAAGATACATACAATATATGATATTATTATCATAGTACAATATCAGTATTATATCTTACTCTATTGTACTATACCATTATATTGTAATATTATTAGTAATGTTACATGTAATATAAATATATAATGATAATATCATATTATTATTATTAGTGTTCTATTGTATTACATTATAATAAATATTATATGTATATACAATATACATTATTATATTATATTATATTATTAGCATAGCACAGGAGACAAGATGGAACTGTCCCCTGCCCCCCCCCCTCTCTTCACTCTGGCCCAGCATGATATTATTTAACATTAAAACATGAAATTAAAAACGTATCGATATAAACATTAAAATCACACAATCCAACAATTGTAGTCCAAGCYGTTCCAAATATCATATCTATTGCACATAATCCCTGATCATTCCTTGTACTGCTTACTGCCCAAAGGCTTGGTCCCATAGCCAAGTTTTTACTTTTCTTCTGAAGTCCGGGAGGGAGGACGTTGATTTAATTTCATTGGGGAGGGAGTTCCATAGCCAAGGAGCCACCACTGAGAAAGCCCTGTCTCTCGTCCCCACCAATCGCACTTCAGAGGGAGGTGGAACTGAGAGCAGCCCCCCCCCCCCAAATGATCTTAATCTCCAAGATGGTTCATAGATGACCCTTTAGCAAGATTTGTTCAAAGTCCGCTTGCCATTACCTTCCATGGAGGCTGAGAAAGCCATCTTTTCAAGTTCACCTGGGGTTTTCCATGCCTGAGTGAGGATTTGAACCTTGGTGTTCTGGCTTAAAGTGCTACACCACTGTGACTCATCTAAGAGCTACTCCTCCATTTTTGAACAAATCTAACTGTAACTTTTGTTGTTTTCAATTTTGTAAAGTGGCTAAAAGTACACCTTCTTATGAAAAAGGAAGAGATTTCCATGGTGAACTTCTGCTATTCACTCCTTTCCTCCTTTTCCAACATGTGGTTTTCTCTTCATTATACATTCATTATACATATAGAGGGCATTATATGGTGAGAGTCACATGCCAACAACATTTTGTGAACTTTGCAGATTAGAAGTTTGGAATTCGGTTCTTTTTCTACTACACTGTACAAGGTGATTTAAATGTGGCCATTACTTCCTCCAGATTGTATGTTGACCATCCCTCTGGACATCAAGAGAAGAGGATCACTCTAGCCGAGTACCTCAAGCAACTATCCAAGCACCACAACTTTCTCTGGTTTGTCTCCATGAACCTTATACAGGTAGGCAGGTAGACTGTGGCCTTTCTGTAGTAGTCCTACAAAGTTCCACAAAAGTCAACAACCAGAACCCTCACCCAGCAGAATCTTGGTGACATTCCACATGACTCAGTTTGTTTACTTTGACTAGGAGGCTAATAGCTTGCCCACTGTAGCCAATAAGCATTTGGCAAGGTCTATATTGTAGAATGTATTGATAAGTGAAATATAGCATGAAACCTTAACAATTAGTATCTTCTGCAGAATTTTTTTGACACAATTTCTTGAATGGCTAAGGGATATGCTGACTGTAGAATTCTAGGAGTTATATTCCAAAAATAATTTTTCAATTCTGTACCACTCCATCTAGGCTAAAAAATGCTTAAGAATTGTGTGAAGTGCCTGACTTTCTCTCATCTATAAAAAAGCAAGGCCTTCTTTTTTGGTTCAATGTTTTCTTTGAGAAGCCATCCTTTCAGAGGCAGCACCACACTCCTTTTACCCTTTGTCAGTGTAGCTTTGATCCAGGAGGAAAAAAACCATGTGGCTATTGGTATTTTCAAACATGAGTATATGCTATCAGCTTTGTCGTGATATCCCTCAGATTTTGTCACAGTGACATTATTTGTTGACTGTATGGACTTATTTATTTATTTGTTTGTTTATTTATTTCGTATCAAAAGCATTGCATAAATTAGTACATATAAAATTGATAAAAATAGAAGGAGCACAATCGGCTAAACATCTTTTGACCAAAAATGGACAACAACGACCGCATTGTCTGTAGCCTCAAACAATTCTTCCTCTGTACATGAGGCAGGACATTGTCGACAAGCATACAGTTGTCTGTTCTGCTCCACAGTCACACAAGATGGAGGATTCTTCTGGGTAGTGTCATTTTGCCAGGTTGTCTTTTGATCTGTCCACGCCACTTCTGAGTCTGTTCAGGGACTTCCAAGTTGCCCATTCTTGGTTTGTCCCTGGAGGAAGACCCTCGTGGAGGGCCATCCATTTGGGATTTCCTGGTTTAGCTGCCCAGAGGGATATTCTTGCTGTTGCTGAGGGAATGTTAAGAGGAGTGGTAGTTCTCATGAAACTTTTCCTTGTTTTGCGTCTACTGGGAGGAGGCTGATAGCCATGCAGAGCATGGCTTTCACAGTGTTCAACATTATTTCTCTCACAGTTGTCAGCAACTTCCCATCACACACCAGGGGTGCAATGCCAGCTACCTTGTAGAGTTTATCAATAGGTGTAGGTTTGAGACATCCTGTGATTATTCTGCATGTTTTGTTCAATGCTCTGTTCACCTGCTTAGTGTGGGCAGACTTGTGCCAAACAAGACAGGCGTACTCAGCAGTTGAGAAAGACAAGGCCAGGGCTCGTGTTCTTATTAATTTTGGGTCTGCACCCCATGCACTGCCAGTAAGTATCCGCAGGATGTTATTGGGTGCAGCTACTTTGTGCTTGGTGTCCATACAGTGTTTCCTAAATGTTAGTGTTTGATCTGACACCAAGATATTTAGGATGGGTGTTCAATCTCTTGGCCTTCCCAGGTAACTTTCCATTTCCTGTTGGCTTCATGGTTTCTAGGTGAAAAGCACACACTTGTGTCTTGGCAAGGTTAGACTTATCTTTGTAGTAACTAGAGAGCTCTTTCAAGGCATTAGTAAGTTGGATTTCAACTGTTTCAAAGTCTTTTGCTTGTGTTGTTAGGCCAAGGTCATCAGCATATATAAAGCTCTTTGTGAGTGGTGGCTGAGGCCGATTGTTAGTAAAGATGTTAAACAAGGTCAGTGCAAGACCGCTGCCATTCTTTTGCCTCCTCAATCTACTTTCCTTGCCTTGAAACTCAATGTAGAAGCTGCGGTTTTCTAGGAAGATCTGGACAGTTTTTGTAAAGTCATCATCCTGGGTAGGAGAGAGATTGGTCAGTGGTTCCTGGCATTGGAGGCGTCTTTACCAGTTTGCACGTTCTAATGAGGAAATTGGAGGCATCTTTACCAGTTTTTTTGTGCCATCGTAATCTATATGGTGGAGAAAGAAACCCACATACTATGGAGTGAGATGTAGCTGCATCTTAATAAGTATTTAATCATTTTAGAATGGAGAGAGTGTGATGTCAAATCAGTGCCCTGGAAGAGAGCAATCACATCCTTTTACCCTTCCACACAGTTATTGTTTTCTTCCAAGCCTCTGCTCAGGATTCATTCATCTTGAGATGATTCCTTGTTTTAAAACACCCCTCATTAGTTATTCTTGTAGCAAATGGAGTTGACAAAAGTATGCTTTAATAATAGCAAGGGCTTGATAGACTGGTGTAAAACATTTTTAAAAAACTGCTTTTCTGACTCACAAATTCCATAAAGCAACTTATGTGTGTGTGAATACTTTCATGCTTCCTATTCCTATGATACATAATTTGTAATTCTGCTCACTACAATTTTTAGCAGCCTCCGCAATTCCTTCTTTTCACAGGTTTTTCACTGCCACTTTAACAGCAACTTCTTCCCGCTCTTCCTAGAGCATCTGCTGTCCGATCGCATCTCACTCTCAATGGGATCATTCCTACTAGGTGAGTCCAAGATGGCAACAAGAAGATGTATTACTCAGTTCAGAATTCTTGCTTTCTACATCTTAATTAGAGAAAGGTTGAGACTGGTGGAAATATATGACCCTCCTCTCAACTGGAACATGGCTCTGGCTCATGCTACCATTTTGTGGAAGGAATCTTTCTTGTTTCTTATAGAGGGATGGAAAGTTATGTTGGGTTCAACCCCACACTGCCCAAGTCTCAAGTCCTCAATGAGGAACAGTTTGGTTAGCTTAGAATAGGCTAAGGGTTTTTAATGGCACTAGTGCTTTGCTTCTAAAGTGTTTCTAAAGTTCTGGTGGTGAAAATTTCAGAACCCTAACAAAACTTTCAAAATTTCATTATTATTTCATTATTGGCGATTTTTATGACAGGCCCAATTAGGAACAGCCATTTATAATGCAATTTTGAAAGTTTTGTTAGAGTTCTGAAATTTTAACTGCCAAAACTTTAGAAACACTTTAGAAGCAAAGCACCAGAACCCCCTAGTTTTTTTAAATACGTGAGAACCATTTAGAACCATGGATTGCCCATGCCTAGTATGTATGTTAACAGAGGTTGAGAGGTTCAGACTTTCAGGTCTTACTTTGTCTTCTTTATGACAAAGCAGAATATGACACAAAAGGCATACAGTTAGAAATCTGAGCCTTCCTAGTTGTTTTGAGTAGTATTGAGCACAATGAGTAGTTCTAGTTAGAACAAAATGAATTCACTAAACCAGTGGATTCAAATTACAGGAAAATAGATTCCAAGTCAATATTTGGGAAAATCTCAGTGACACTAAGAGTTGCTTGACAGTGCCTTGAAGGGTGGTAGGCTATCCTTTGCGAGTCTTTAAACAGAGGTTGGATGGACATTTTTTGGAAGCAATTTGTTGTGCCAGGGATTGAAGGAGGGTCCTTCAACAGGTAAAATATGTGCTCTCTCACTGAGTAATGTTCTCTTACTATTGTACCTTATTACTACAGCAATGCACTGCTACCTGTTTGATATTCCTGCAATTAATTTGCCTTTTTTCTTAGGTGTTTCGTATGTTGCTCCTCATCTCAACAACCTCTACTTCCTCTCACTTTGCCGGAGGTGGGGAGTTTATGCTGTGGTGCGAGGACTCTTCTTCCTGAAGTTGTTGCTTAGTGTGATTATGCTCCTTGCTGGACCAGACTCTGTTTACCTGCTCTGTTTCTTCATAGCTAGGTATGCCTCTTTGCTGGTGTCGCACTGGGAATTGGGATGGGAATGGGAATAGAACCATTAGGTCGGCTTCATCCCCCCTTTCTTTTAGGAAAAAACTGAAATCATGGTTCTGGGACCAGGCCTTTGGACAACAGGCATGAAAGCACTTTGGAGGTTGAACTGGACTGGAAATGGTTATATGGTTGATAATAATGTTTTAAATTGTTTTTAACTTACTGTTTTATTTACTGTTTGAAATTGTTGTTATATCTGTTATAATTGTTTTGTACATTGTGGCATCAAATTGTTGCCTGTGTAAGTTGCTCTGAGTCCCCCCTCGGGGGTTGAGAAGGACTGGGTAGAAATGTTGGAAATAATAATAATAAATAATTTCGTATAGCACTGTAATTATTGATGCCATATAGCAGAAGCTAAATTCCAGAGTCCCAATTCTTAGCCTTGTATTGGACTATCTGTTGAGAGCCTTGTTTTCTCTTGGGAACATCCAGAAAGATTAGTCAGAGGCAATTTATTAATCCTTTTTATCAACAAAGGAGTGGCTAGATCAGGCACAGGCAAATTTCGGACTTCAACTCCCACAATTCTGACTTGAAAGTAATACAAACTACTTGAAAGCACCCAACAACAACAACAATCCTATCTCAAAAGCAGGTCCATACTTCCCATTGAAATACTAATAAGTTTATATCTGTTAAAATTGTTCTTCATTTTAATTGTTTTGTTTTAAAGTGGTTTTTTTGCACTTCAAATAAGATATGTGCAGTGTGCATGGAATTCATTCATGGGGTTTTTTTTCCAAATTATAATCTGGCCCTCCAAGAGTTTGAGGGACTGTGACTTGGCCCTCTGTCTACGATATTGTGTTTCACTGTTATGTTATTGTCTGAATCTGGCATTGAATTATTGCCATAGTTTGTAAGCCTCCTCCATGTGTGAGGAGGGTGGGGTAGAAACTCAGTAAATAAATAAATAAATAAACAAACAAACAAATAAATAAATGCTATACTTCCCATTATCCTCAGTTAACATAGCCTGTGGAAGCTGCCATGTTCCATTTTGACTAGTTCTGTGTAGAGCACTGAGTTAGCCACTGTTTGTCTCAAACCTTCACATCTATGTCTCAGCTTCGGTATCCTCACCTCCTGTTAACACTCCCCTATCCTTATTTCCTCAGCAACCGTGTTTTCACGGAAGGGACATGCAAACTGCTGAACTTGGTGGTCACTGACCTGGTAGATGAAGACTTGGTACTGAATCGCAGGCAGCAGGCTGCCTCAGCTCTTTTATTTGGTATGGTTGCGTTGGTAACAAAACCTGGCCAGACCTTTGCCCCCTTGATTGGCACCTGGCTGCTGTGTTCTTATACTGGTAGGTACTGGGCAAGGCAGCAGAATGGGATTAGGCTTGAGAATTACTGCTTGTTTTCTCACCTGAGAGAATTGGCAGGCAATTGTTAGTAATTTAAGTGATGATACATATTAATTTATTTTAATTATGAGTCCATTTGCAACTACCCTTTCCATTTCTATTGTCATCTGTAACCTTATTTAATAAGGAAGTGCTTAGGACTGTTATGGTTTCATCTTATTATTTCTGTAATTTTTGCATTTTGTGTGTTTGCACTTTTGAGTGTTTTGCGAGCCGCTCCGAGTCCCTCTGGGAGATGATGGTGGGGTATAAATGAAGTTTATTATTTATTATTATTCTCCCTTTGGCTTTTGCTACCGGAGTGTTGACTAAGGCACCGCCCACACTGCCATATCATTCAGTTTCTGAATGCAGATTAACTGCATTGAACTGGATTATACTGCATTGTAGGCTCACATAATCCAAGTAATTAATCCACATTTTAAAACTAGAATATGGTATATGTAGATCCAGCCTAAGAAAGCATAAATAAGCATTAAGGAACACTGACTGTCCCACTTGCTGTGGTCTGTGCTTTGTTTTAGATGAGATCATTTCAGGTGCTTGTAAAAGTGTTTATTTCAGTGGTTCTCAACCTGTGGGTCCCCAGATGTTTTGGCCTTCAACTCCCAGAAATCCTAACAGCTGGTAAACTGGCGGGGATTTCTGGGAGTTGTAGGCCAAAACACCTGGGGACACATAGGTTGAGAACCACTGGTTTATTTATAAGGATATGGAAGTAGCAGTAGGTGCCCTAGACAGAACTGTGGATATTCCTATCACTAAGTGGACTCCAAAAGCTGCTGTTTAAAGAATGAAACCCAGTCTCCAAACAATCCCCCACAAGCAGCTTTTGGTATTATTTATTCCTTGTTTGGAAAAAAGGTATTCGCTTCTACTTTGCAAGTGAAATCTGCAAGGATGTTTCCCAAAGGAAATGTTCTCACTAGTGGCTAATATAATGGACAGAAGCCTATTGTGGTTGTCTAGGTTCTTAGATAAAACAAAATCTGCAAAATGAGATGTTTTCAAGGACTTTAAAAAGCTTAAGCCAGCCTGTTTTCAGTTTCCCTAACCACTTCCATTGTTGTCCTAGGTTATGACATCTTTCAACGGCATCCCTTGAGCAACACAGTGAGTGCTCAACCAAAGCTGGCTGCCAACGCTGTCTGGGAGCCAACGCTACGCCAGGGGTGCTTCTACCTCCTTGTTTTTGTCCCTATCACATGTGCTTTACTCCAGCTCCTCAGCTGGTCACAGTTCACTTTGCATGGTAGGCGCCTCCAGACAGTCAAATCTCAGCGTCAAACCTTCACAGAAAGATATTCCCAAGAGATTAAAACCATCTAGTTATGAATGAGCAGTGAGCAGCATGTTGACTCCCAAAAAGAATGGTAAGAGCAAGGAGAAAAAGGATAATAGATGCATTCTTAGAAGGTCGGTGAGAAAAATAAAAATTCAAGCTATCTCAAACTCCCTGAAATGCAGGTATGTCTGGGGTGAGCCTTGCAGAGATCCTTGTGACTTAAAAGCTTGCATCTTTTGACACCACCCAAAGGTGGTTCAGACAGTTATATCTCCTTGCCTTAAAAACCCACGTCAGCAGGTACTTGCTAATCATGCCAGTATTTATTCATTTTCAGAGACAGCTGGCCTGCAAGAAAAGTGACCAAATGGCAGATTATGCATATAGTGTGGATGGGGATGGGTCAGTAATATTTTAACCCTTCGACCATATCGTTTCTGGAACTGTTTGCAGACAGGAATCGCTTGAGATGGGGATAGCACTCATGTGCCCTCTTCTTACCACACTTACTGTGTGTTGTACTCACTTTCCCTCAACTTCTTTGGTATTTACTGTGAACACAACTAGACTACCTTCAGTGTGCTAGACAACAAGAGTATTCTGTACTTGCAAATAGGGTCACTGTATGAGGCAAAGATACTTGCTGTGCTATAATTTTCATGAGAGTATCAACACTATCAAATTCTTCCAGCACAAATACAATAATGGGATTTGTGTTGGAAGGGTAGACTTTGGAGCATGTTTAGTACCACAGGACTGGGAGGAATCCTTCACATTGGAATCTGAGGCCAACAACTGCATAAATTACAGTTTTCAATAACTGTTGGATTGATTTACTTTCTATAACAAAAGTCTGGACTTCTTTCTTTGGGGCTGTCATCTTGGGATTCCTGCTGCATCAGTTTTTAAAATAGCACAAGAAGATCTAACTGTACATGCAAGGGATCCGTTGTATTTATACATGTGGTCTAGTTTTACTCCTTTTCCATGGGAGTACAGTAGAGTGTTAAGAGAAACCTCTGGGCCTGGAGGAAGAATTCATTGCCTGCAAACTTAGACTAAAGTACAGTATCGGGCACAAATAGTTTATCATTTCCTCTCTCATAATTATGACCAATTGAGATGTTAGAAGCCGGCTGTGTAATTCTTGCTGGCTGCCCAGTTTACTTGTTTTGGTCTACTTCTGCAACTCCTTTAAGGTAAGCCAAAAATCTTCTCCTTGTTCTCTTGCCTTCTCATTTGATGAGAGGATTTATAGAGTTCCAGGTTTCCTAGATGTGATTATGGTATGACTCTAGGGAACAGAAAATCATATACTACTATCAGCAAGCAGAGAGCAAGGAAGACATCTTAGTCTAAATCCTTTATTGAAATAAAAGATATGTGACCAACTCACATTCTGTGTTCCTAATCTAATATCCTCTTCAATATTATTATAGAAAAACAAGGAAAAAAAAGAAATAAACCAGGGCACCTTGGGACCAAATTAACACCATCTCTTTGTATGTTGAAGCACATGTCACTTATGGAGTTTTCCATTTTGTTAGGCAGTTACTTGGGCAACAGCTGAGAAATTATTGAGATAATGATGGTAAATTGTTTACAATCTAAACCTTTGTGTCTGTTGAAGACTAAACTGTAATTTATTCATATCATTTCATTAAAATTTAATTCTTTTTTTTAAAAAACTATTTGTGGTATTAAATTATGAAGGCTTTTCTAAGAGTATCCTAAATACATAGATCACAACATCTCAAAGCTTACCTATTTTACCTATTCCTATCCATGTTGGCTGGGAGATTCTGGGAGCTGTGGTCCAGAAGACTATTATTTCAAAGGTCTAGTTTTACTTACCCTTCAAGCCAGTTACACATAGAGGTCTCCTATCTTAAACCATATCAGTGAGCTCTGCTGGAATCTGTCCAGTGTTATGAAGAGTTTCTCCAGCCAACACCCAAGTAATCCTGGAACTGGCCAATATAGCTGTAGGAATCTTCCTGTTGGAGAGATCATCTACTAATTGCTGTTTTCACAAATGTAGTCTGTGTATGTAGTGTCAGCCTTGTTGCCTACTGAGTCAGGACCACTCATGATGTTTTCTACTTCCCCATCCTCATCTGTTCAATGACAACTTGATCTCCCTGAAATCTTGTCATGGCAGATGAAAGCTCAAGTGAATCAACTGAGAGACTTCTTATAAGAAAGTGAAGATGAGCTCTACTTGTGTAGCACATTAGTGAAGCAGGAACTCTGGCTTACCAGGTTGCATCCATTCTGAGTGCTTTAGTAAAGCTGCTAATCAGTTATTAATACAAAACGGAAATGGTTAGAATCCAGGATTATGTTTGGCTATTGAAAAATTAGTTTATGTTTCGTCATCCTTGTTTTCTCACTGGGGTCAAGTTAGCAGAATAATTCTACGTTCCGCTTTGACACTACCTGTAAATTTTGGGAAGAAATTGTTTTTTTTCTTTCTTCCTAAATTCTACCATTTCTGTAGGTAAGGGTTCTATTTATATTCCTGCCCACAATTTGGGGTTGTTAAATACACCTACTATATCCCCCTCTCCTGCAAGTTTGAGCTACCATATCTTTTTACCACGCTTGGCTGAAACTGGAGAAATAGTAGTTCAGAGTAACAGAAACGGTGTGCCCTGCAGGCAGTAGTTTCCTATTTCAATTGAGGCAAGAAGGGTGACTCATGATGGAGTAATCATATTCGTGTTCCTGCTGTAACAAAGATAGCTACACCCACAAGAACAAAGAGGAACATTTTTTGTTCATTAATGCTTAAAACTTGACTGATTTTCAAAACCTATTTGGCTGGTTTGGGTTTGTCTGTGTTTACTGTTAAAACTGGAACTTTCAAATAAGCAGTTGCATTTATTCCTATATCCCTGCTGCTATTTCTTCTACATCAGAAGCTGCAATTTTAAATTTAATTTTTTAGCCTACCAGAGGTCTAATATGTAGGAGATACAACTGATTTAAATCCCACGCAGGGTGCTAAATTCATTGAGGCTAATATCAGTACTTCTGTAAAAACATCACATATGTGGACTGCACCCATTGTTATAACCATCGGTTTACTCAAAATCAAAGGCAAACATCTTGGTTTCCCTCATAGGAAACTTATGATTCCATCAAAGAGAGAGCACACTATATATTAACAACTTTTATTTTAGTACATTGGGCAGCACCCAGCATTGCTGTGCACATATGTGCAAAGTATACCATCAGTCTGCTAGAACCAACACTGGGTTACAGAAAGCACCTGTCAAGATTGTTCAAAACTGCTTTTGATAACTCATGTCAAGCAAGGAAAAAAATCAACACAGAATTTTAAAAGAAGCTCAGGAGCCAACTTGGAGATATTTATATATTACATCTCTGTCCTCAAACATAATCACTGCCCTTAACACAGACTACACACAGCTAGGAGTTACCTACTGTCCCCTCTATCAGTACAAGCTGCTAACACACTGGTCCCCTCATTGCAGAATTTGAAAATATTTTTGGTTATCTCTCAGAATCTTCTGGCGGCTGGGTTTTTCTGAGAGGTGGTAGTCCACAAATAAATTTTCCAAACACTGTTCTGTTTCCCCATGATTGCAACTGAGAATTGCATTAAAACTATGAGTTGTTCCACCCTCCTTGCAGCAATTATGAGGCAGTATATCAACATTACTTTAGGTAGAAATTGAGCAAGAATCAAGGCCTCTGCAGTAACAGCCTGCCCTGGGCATGCATTTCAAACAGTAGACAGTTCAAAACAAAATACAACATTCCTGTAACATAAGGCAAGAAATATGGGTTAACATTCTTTCCCTGCGGTAACAAGTCAGTTGTGTGAGCCTTCCTAAACCAGTCAAGACTACCCTATATATCCTTACCAGGGAAGAAGCTAGTAATGAAAGCTACCCCACTGGTAACTGATCAGTCTGTAAATATCTCTGCAAGAGAACTCACTTATGTGGCTCATAATCATACTATGTAAAACACTTTTAGCCTCAGGCTGCTGCTAAATGACTAAGCAAAGAATCACCCTGCACGCAAGTTCAGATCTATTGCTCAAGCCTTGATCTCCATGGTATCAAAAGCTGCTTGAGCTTGGGCCAAAAATCCAAACAGAAAAGACTAATAGGAAGCAGACCATCTTATCAAGATCTCAACTCGGCATTGCAACAAACTTTTAAATCCAGCACCAGCAGAGTCTGGAGTCCACTCACTACAGTAAGCTGCTGGGTTCATTCAGTGGAAATGTCATCTCACTTGAAGTGAAAAACCAAAATGATTTGATAGAACTTCTGGGTTAGAAGACAAATATCTAAATTATCAGCAGAAGATGTGCTTTCCTTGTAGTGCCAGCTGACATAGTTGCACATCTGAGACAAGCACATCTGAGACAAGCAAATCCACGGCAGCTAATGAAAGCAAGTAATTACAGCAAGATTCTGGGAAAGAAAACCCGGAGGGAATGTTCATTCCTACATGTTAGCAGTACCTTACACTAATACAAAATGGTCTCTTATTCACTCTCAGTGCTTCCACAATTCATTTTCTGTGGCAAATTTGGGACACAGACATATGCTACCTTTTAGTGGTCAAGTCCTAAGACAATAATTGTGAATAATGCCTTGGCATTTCCTGCCAGAATCTTCCAAACTTCTGTTTGGGAAAGCTTTGCAAGGTACCCATGAGTCATGTTCTTTAAAACCAAAAATAAGGCTATATTGTTCAGATTCTGATCAATGTTGGTCAAGAGAACATTACTACTCTGTCAGAAGACATCTTTATAGACAAAGCTGGAAATCTCCCTTGAAATAGCAACTGTCTTTCTAAATTCCAAACAGAGCTACTCTATATAGCCAGAGGAGTGTTTAACTACTTTTGACAAGGTGTAGACCTCATCACACTGGAGAAAAAATCCACTTAAAATCCAGTTGCTGCCTCCTGCAGAAATCTGGGGTCTGTAGTTTAGAGAGGAGCCTTTAACAGCCTCATTAAACTACAAATCCAAGAATTGTGCAGGAGGCAGGAACAGGATTTTAAGTAATTTTGTATCGCTACTGTGAATTGGAAGTCAGTATTTTTCATCCCACATAAGTCACCAGAGATGCATCTGTTCGTACACTAGGGACATGGGAAAGTTTACACAAACAAAGCTGCTATCTCATATGTTCATTTGCATGAATCACACACTGGTTGCTGTCCTCTTTAATACTTTGGGGATATTGCATAATGCACAAGACTGCAATGTATTTTAACAACCTTTCAGTTGTTTTGCTGTGGGTTTTCCAGGCCGAATGGCCATGTTCCAGAAGCATTCTCTCCTGATGTTTCTTCCACATCTATGGCAGGCATCCTCACAAACTTGCGAGGTCTGTCAGAAACTAGGCAAGTGATGTTTATATATTTGTGGAGTGTTCAGGGTGGGAGAAAGAACTCTTGTCTGCTGGAGGCAGGTGTGAATGTTGCAAGTGGCCATCTTGATTAGCATTTTTTTCTCCCACCCTGGACCTTCCATAGATATAGAAACTTCCCTTGTTTAGTTTACAATATATCTCACAACCTCTGAGGATGCCTGCCATACATGTGAGCAAAACATCAGGAGAGAATGCTTCTGGAACATGGCCATACAGCCTGGAAAACTCACCGCAACCCAGTAATCCCGGCCATGAAAGCCTTCAACAGCCACCTTTTAGGTGAGACACAAATCTTTCAGCAAAAAACACTGAACAGATGCAATATTCTACTACATATCCAACTTGCATACTCTAGTCCCAAAAATGTTCTTCAAGAATACTGATCTTTGAGCCAAACAAAAGACTTGGATTGAAAACACAACTGGCCCACGTTCAGAATACATCAGCAGCAGTGAAGAGGACAAGACTTTGCCCCCACAATCCAATCCCTCAGCTCTCACTTCCTATTGCAGTTTCTTCTTTTGTTGTTTAGCTACTGGCAGAGGTAAGGCGCATTTCCTGTTGCCAGGTCTTTAAATACTCAAGCGGCCAAGGATGTGAAATATTTGGTCTTTAGCAGCAGCATTAACAAAACAAAATATTTAACAAAAACCCTGAAAAATAAGCACCAAAATGCTTTAAAAAAGAAAAAAAAACACAATCTTATATCAAAGTAAACTGTTTTTCCTTTCTGTAAAAGTACAGAAGCAGTTGAAAAGGCATTAACGCTATGTCAGAATTACAGCTTCTTTCTGGAGGTCACTACTCAACTCTTGACATGCTCTAATGGAGTTTATTGTTTGTTTGCATGGTGCCTTCATAAAAACAACCACTTCAATGAGTGGGGATGGTTTCAGGGCTGACCCTACTGTACAATGTTAAGTGCGCGGTTAAAACGTCAGTGCTAGTGATAAATATTGGAAAATGTAGTGAAGCAGGACAAAAAAACAGGGTAACTAACCCTGAGCCCCAGTTAGTAGTTCGGTTACCACCAAAAAGTATCAATAAATAAAGTTAATACTAAAAACAATTAAGCAGCTTCCCAGCAAGCATAGCTGAGCAACCCCTACAGCAGTGCTTATGATGTGGGCATAAAGCCTTCAGCTTTCAGAGAAAGTCCACATGTAAACCTTTAGACGATGGAGGGAGTGGGGAGACAGCAATAGGCAGATGGAGAATAGAATGGGCCTCAATACTCTTTAGAGTTGCCCTGGGCACTTGACTGTATGACAGCTGGCTGCCTCACTACTGCCAAGTGCCAAGGCGAGGACCGTCTAGAATAGAATAAAGGAAGTAGGTGTTACTGCTCTACACCATGCATTATAAACTAATCCCTAAAATTAACTGCTCTAACTCTCTTGCTATGGTCCAGATTCTCACACACCAGCCTAAGGATTTTTACACATGCATTCACACATACATGCACTCACACACACTCACACTGGGCTTATAACAGCTGAAAATGTGCTTATTTTCTTTGTATGTTGGGCTTAAAAAAAGTAGGGGAGTGATACTGTGAAGTGGTCGTCTTAAAAATAAAACATTTGCTAGGCAAATGACCAGAAATTAGGTAATAGCTGATTTCTGTGCCCTGAATTTTAATGGCAACCTTCTGAACTTCAGCCTGGCCCATTTTCTTTACTCAGACCTTCTCTTTCAAGCCCAAACGTGGACTATTTTACCACATGCTCATTTCCACTCCACTAAGTGGCTTGATTTCCAAGTCATACTATTTTCCCTCGACACAAAGGTAATGTCAAAAGTTCAGTGACCAACTAAAATAAGGAACAGATCTCCCCAACTGGTTCATTGCCATTTGTCACCTGCCTCTCACAAAACCAATCACCAATCAAGTCAAACTTATAGCCTTCCCATTGGCTCTGGGAAAACCTCGAACACGCTGCACCCACCTCCTACCCATACACAGACACACACAAGGGAGCTTCCCAGACACCCTGAAAAGCGAGTTGAGGAAAAGAAAGAATCCAAGGAGACCCCAGGATGCTCCCGGACTAGAAGGTTTTTCGATGGATGGCCCGGGCGCTGTCTTCCTCATATTCTTTCTTGGAAACCCACATTTTCTTAAATGTGTCCAATGAAGCCAAGATGGAGCCACTGCAGAGGAAGCATGCCAGAGTTAGATTTGAAGTCAGAAGGCAACTCATTCCCTTCCCTATTAGGTAAAACAGTAAAGGTTTCCCCTTGACATTAAGTCTAGTCATGTCCAATTCTGGGGGGTGGTGCTCATTTCCATTTCTAAGCCGAAGAGCCGGAGTTGTCCGCAGACACCTTCAAGGTCATGTGGCTGGCATGACTGCATGGAGCGGTGTTACCTTCCTGCAGAAGCATTACCTATTGATCTACTCACATTTGAATGTTTTTGAACTGCTAGGTTGGCAGAAGTTGGGCTTAAGCTCACCCCGCTCCCCGAATTTGAACTGGTCAGCAGGTTCTGCAGCTCAGTGTTTTGCTCTACCAGGGGTTCCTCCCTATTAGGTAGGTAAAGGTAAAGGTTTTCCCCTGATATTAAGTCCAGTTGTGTCCAACTCTGGGGTGTGGTGCTCATTTCCATTTCTAAGCCAAAGAGCCGGCGTTGTCTATAAACACCTCCAAGGTCATGTGGCTGGCATGACTGCATGGAGTGCCATTACCTTCCCGCTGGAGCGGTACCTATTGATCTACTCACATTTGCATGTTTTTTTTGCTAGGTTGGCAGAAGCTGGGGCTGACAGCGGGAGCTCATGCCGCTCCCAGGATTCGAACCTGTGACCTTTCAGTCAATAAGTTCAGCAGCTCAGCACTTTAATCTACTGCGCCACCGGGGGCTCCCCCTATTAGGTACTGAGGTATAATTATTTTATCTGCACTGAAGGGCAGGGCTATTGCTAAAATGTTCACTCAGATATAAAAGGCTCTGAATGAACTACTGAATGGATCCTAGTGTTCCATATGTATGATGCACAGGGCCTGTGAAAAAGAAACATATAGTTCTTCCCAGGCTCCTAAGAGTAATGGTAGAGAAGAGGGCCACTGTAGTCTCTTCATGCAATGACTGTGTGCCTAAATTTGGAGTTTGTTTCCAAATCCAAAATATATATATATATGGAAAAATGACTTATAGGTGACAGCACATTGTTAGCTAGGAGTAGAATATTATGTGCAGATCAAAACTACCAAAATGCATCAAATCACTTTGTTACAGGCCTTGTAGGGCCCCCTGGTGGCACAGCAGGTTAAACCGCTGAGCTGCTGAACTTGCTGACCAAAAGTTTGGCAGTTCGAATTCGGGGAGCGGGGCGAGCTCCCATTGTTAGCCTCAGCTTCTGCCAACCTAGCAGTTCGAAAACATGCAAATGTGAGTAGACTAATAGGTACCGCTTCCGCGGGAAGGTAACAGCACTCCATGTAGTCATGCTAGCCACGTGACCTTGGAGGCATCTACGGACAAAGCCAGCTCTTCGGCTTAGAAATGAGCACACACACCCCCAGAGTTGGTCTCAACTGGACGTAATGTCACAGGGGGCTTGGAAAATGGCATTGTATAGCAAAGAATGCACATTTTCCCAATTCCTGTAAAATTTGTTCAGATAGATTTGGTATGTTTTGGAAACAAGCTCCACAAATTGTGATCCACATTAGCTGTGCAAAATCCCCCAACAATTCTACACCTTCAAGAAACAAGGCAACAGGTATAGGATTTTCAAAAGGCTCATAGTGTGAAAAAGAGCAGGAGTTGCTTGTTTCTCCACCATCAAGAAAAAAACCATATACCATGCTGGCTTCCAGTTTTGTCTCTCAGTATGGTACCAACAAGTACTCTCCAATGAACAACTACATAAATTATATTATATGAGAGTTCCAGTTCTCTTCCTATACTATATCTGAGCCCTTCCTTTTCTCTGAATTAGTGGGAGCAACAATGAAAAAGGCAACCAAGACTAAAAATTCTGAGATAAAAGGAATTATCTTGTACACACCCAATCCATGTAGAATACAATCTCTCTTGTGGAGCAGATATCTAGAGAGGAGAAAGAGAAAGGTGGGTGGAGATAGAAGCAATATTAATTCTTCATGCATTAAGCTCACAAAGTTTTTCCCTGTTGACGAAGGCTTTCAAATGGCCAGAATCGCTGTGAGTTTTCGAGGCTGTATGGTCAATGTTCCAGAAGCATTCTCTCCTGACATTTCACCCACATCTATGGCAGGCATCCTCAGAGGTTGAGGGGCCAACCTAAGGATGCTTCACCCTCAACTTCTGAGGATGCCTGCCATAGATGGGGGCGAAACGTCAGGAGAGAATGCTTCTGGAACACTGGCCATACAGCCCGGAAAACTCACAGCAACGCAGTTTTTCTCTGTTATTTTACATTCCATCCAACTGGTCTGGAGTCCAAAAAGATAAGTAGTATGCGGATTTTCTCTAGAATGCAGTTACCTCAGAGGAAATGTGTCACTTTGTCAAAGGTTTTCACAGCCAGAATCACTGGGGTGTTGTGTGGTTTCTGGACTGTATGGCCATGTTCTAGCAGCATTTTCTCCTGATCTTTCACATGCATCTGTGGTTGGCATCTTCAGAGAATTTTCTGAAGATACCAGTCACAGATGCAGGCGAAATGTCAGGAGATAATGCTGCTTGAATACAACCATACAAGGTTGTATGTTTTTCGGGCTATGTGGCCATGTTCTAGAAGCAGACGTTTCACCTGCATCTATGGCAGGCACCTCAGAGGATGCCTGCCATAGATGCAGGCAAAACATCTGCTTCTAGAACATGGCCACATAGCCCGAAAAACCTACAACAATCTAGTGATTCCGGCCATGAAAGCCTCCAACAATACAACAACCATACAGCCCAGAAACCACAAAACACCCCAACTGTTTTTACATTTTTATTGCCAGGTGTTAATTGTTTGTTTTTGAGCTGCCTTGGATTCTACTCTGGGAGAAAGGCAGCATAAGAATGAGTGAAACAAAACAAAATGAAACAAAAGTTTCTTTCAGAGAGTCAGAAGGCAAAGAAAATTCAACTTACTCTGATTTTGACATCTTTGGGGGCCAGTTTCTTCACTTCAGTAAGAAGCCTATCACCAAAACCTAAATTGAAGACAAAATACCAACACCATTTTTAAAAGATCACAGATAAAATTCAGGCTTATTTTTCAACTTGCTGAAGGCACTAGATTTCCAACCCCATGGTTTTCAGGGGTGTGAGGAATCCCAATCTTTTTATTTCTTTTCCCACCCACCAGAGGTTTTTATTATTTTGGTTAGTGCTATAATTCATTTGTTCAACACATGCCTCTCAAATCTAAACACATTACAGTGCTCCCTCGCTACTTTGCGGTTCGCTTTTAGCGGACTTGCTGTTTCACGGGTTTTTAAAAATATTAATTAAATAATAAAATATAAAATATTTATGTCCAGTGGAGGCTAGGGACTCTGGAAGTACGGCGGCCTGAGGCGCGGTGGGGAAAGCCTGCCTCCCTGGCCTGTTGCTGCCTGCGTGGCTCCGGAGGCTCTGCGGAGGCCAGGGAGGCAGGCAGGCACCCTTGGGATGGGCCAGGAGGCGGGTAAGGAAGCACGGGTAAGAATAGCCGGAATAGCCTCCCCAGCCAGAAATGCCTCTAGAATATGGCCATATAGCCTGAAAAAAACCTACAACAACCCAGTGATTCTGGCCATGAAAGCCTTTGACGATACATAGCCTTTATACTCCAACAATTCTGGAGGATTTTGGTTAAGAAAGATTTGGGTAAAATCAATGGCGCCTGTCTACAAATTTCAGTGGGAAAAACAGTAGGGCACACTTGAACAGCGTCTTTTTATCTTTTAAGAAGAAATAAGCAGCATCGCTGGAAGCCATCACACGATATTCCAAAATATCAAGTTTCTATATGTCTGTTTCTCTCTGCACTAGAGATTTCTACCCATCCATCGTCCATCCATCTCCAACTGCGGCAGAACAATGTCTCTGGAAACTCAAATTCTCCTGCTCTGCCCTGCAACCCCCGAACATATTCCAATGTTTTTAAAAATAAGCTACAGAAAAGAGCTTGAAATTATTTCAGATAACTAAGTGTCTCCCAAAAAGCAAAGAAGCAAGCAAACTGATGGAACCTTTGAAGAGTGTTGAGCCTCCAGAGAGGACAATGTTAGAGAAGAGCGTTCGCCTCAAGTCCATATCAGACTTCTGAATTGCAAAAACCAATACTTCATGCAGCCCCTCACACTCTTCCCCAATCAGATCTGGACGGAACAGCAACTCTGGGGCCCGGAACCGAGCTGGGCCAACCTGCATAAATGACAAAGAAGTCCATCTTGTTATTTCTGCAGAAGCGAAAACAATGTTTCACTCCCCTGCACTTTGTATTCAATTAAAATAGTGGAAGGTTCTGATGTGGCAGCAACGTTAGTGGACATTTCTATTGGGTTGGAGCAGTGGCTCCTAACTTTTTTTTGACCAGGGGCCATCTCCAACATTAGTACCAAAAGGGTTATGAATCAGTTTTTGGTCAACTATGGATTCGATTTGGTTATCTGGGCTGCTGATTCAGAAAAGTGCATTGGATAGACCACATCAGCTCTAGTTGCTGATACAGAACATATGCCATCCAGTAGTCGCCATTTGCTCGCCCACAGAAAACCAAATGTAATAAGCCTCAGCACTATAAGAGTTTTGCAAGACCAGTCGCTCTCACTGCAACAGTGTAGTAATGGTGAGGCCACGGACCATATTTTAGTTCTTGTGAATGATTGGTGGCCACAGACCACAGGTTGGGAACCACTGGGAGACCTAATTCCATGTATCACAGATGTGAAATTGTGCACCCCTCACCTAAAGCCTTTGGACAGTATCAATAGCCCACCAATTTGTCAATCTGCAGGATAACAACTAAGGACTTATTTAATAATAGTTTGCTTCCAACTAGGTCACGTCTTCACACACCTCAATGGTGCTTCCATCTGGAAGGTAGTACTGAGCCTTTTCTGTTTCTAATGTCTCATCCTTCTGTGGGTTTATTGACAGGTAACAAGCCCGCTGTGAAGGAAAGACAAACAGAGATAAGACAATAATGACATCTCAGGGAATACTGCTGTAAAACACAAAATATATTAATTCTGGTGCATTAGGAGCACCACCATCTCCATGCTAAAGCCTCGTAATCCTCAACCAAACATGAGAATGACAAACAAAGGAGGAAATTTATAAAAGAAGTCAATGCACCCTGGCAGAGAATACTGATCTAGTATAAGTATTTGTTCGAAGGATCATTAAGCTGTTAGTTATCTGATTTCTTTTGAAATTTATGAAGTCTTTTATTTTGTGGAATAGTTGAGCTACAACTAGGATGCCATTTTCAAACCAGGAGATAGATAAAATTTGGGAGTAATAAAGGTTTAAGAGACTCCAGTCTATCAAAACAAGCATCAACAGTACTATAATAAATCACCCTATTTGACCTTTACAGGTGACTTTGTACTAGGTGGCAGCTGGGTGTTATAGGCTATTAGGTGAACTCAATGAGTTAATGGTGATAGGATGAGAATATGCAGTTCATTAGCTAGGCCAACCTTTGCCAAACTGGCACCTCGAGATCTGAGCATCACCAGCTAACACAATCTTTGGCTATTGAAAACCAAGATCCTCTTTGATGTTTGGTAGAACAAACCCTGGACACACAACAGAATGCATGGGACTGGTGTTGGAGGCATTTTTTGTGTGGAAAAAGACATAAGACACGTTCTTCTCAGGAACATCTGTTCTGAGAGTGTGGAGACTCATGTGGTGAATTTTTTCTGGGACTCTACCAGCTGAGAAGGTGGCATTTATGAAAAAATATGTCTGAGGATGTCCCATTTCATTATTTTTAAAAAGCTCTCCTTGTCTATGGAAGGCTAGTGGTTCCATTTGTTGTTTGTTTTTCAGAAGGTTAAATTTCTGGTGGTACAGTGGGTTGAACTGCTGAGCTGCTGAACTTGCTGACTGAAAGGTTGGTGGTTAGAAAATGGGGAGCAGAGTGAGCTCCTGCTGTTAGACCTAGCTTCTGCCAACCTAGCAGTTCGAAAACATGCAAATGTGAGTGAATCAATAACTACTGCTGCTGCTGGCCACATGACCTTGGAGGTGTCTACAGTGGCTTTTACGGCTTATAAATGGAGATGAGCACCACCCTCCAGTCGGACACAACTAGACTTAATGTCAGGGGAAACCTTTTCCTTTCCTTTACTAATTTTCTTAATGCCAATTAGTTCTGACAAGGCACAGTGGTTCCCTCAGCCAGTTTGCCAACTTTTTAGGAACTGTGGGAGCTGAAGTCCAAAACATGTGGAGGACCAAAGGTTGAAAACCACTGAGTCAAAGTCTTTCCAATCCGAAATCTTGCATTTACTTTCAGAAGTAATAGCACAGTTCAAGAAGAATCTGAGCAAGGATGAATTGTGGAATTTTCCTGAATATATTGTTTGAGATCTTCCCTTTCATTCCTAAAAGGGATTCCAGTGCGATGGGACAGGAATAACTTTTTTTCATCAAATCTGAGAGATGAAAATATATGGTTATACATTAGAGATAAAAGTACATCTTGAGCAGGTATCTGCAATATAAACTATCCTCCCTCCCTTCTCAGTCTGTCCCGTAGTCTGGACTGTATATATATCACTGATAATGCCCATATGCGATGTGTAATTCACAAAAGGCACTTTCCCATGCTCTGCAGATACCTCACGTGTAGCAGCCCAGGCTACATTCAATTCCCTCACAACTGAAGACACCCCGAATTAAAGATAAAGAGACATCCAGGCACCTCTTTGATAGTTTTGACGATCTCAAACTCAGAAGATGTATGGAAATCATAGCCTTCCTTCCGGAGATAGAGCCGAAGGAAACGGGAGACATCGCGGCCAGCTATGTCAATCCGCATAATGGAGTGGGGCATGGCAAACCCTTCATAAATAGGAACTGCGTGTGTGACCCCATCTCCAGAGTCCAACACCACTCCTGTTGTTCGCCCAGTTGCATACCTAAAGAAAGGGTGATATCTTTCAGAACAATTCACACAAAATCAAACTTGGAGAAAATCAGAATGACTTGATGGGCAAGTAGCAACACCTCCCAAGGGAAATCTAATTTGAGGACAAGAAAGTTTATCCAGGTACAATTTAATAATAATAATCATCATCATCATCATCATCATCATCTTTATTTGAACCCTGCCATCATCTCTCCAAGGGACTCGGGGCAGCTCACAAAGCACTCAAGGGGCCACACATAAAATAGAATTGCATATCATCAAAACAATACACAATTAGACTGAACACTAACAATGGACAACATAAATCGATAATTTTTTTAAAAAAAATTCTAAAACACAGTCATGCCTGTGGGTCACTGATTTTCTTCAAACATGAACTAAAGTGCCAAAAAACAATAGTTGATGTCATAACATAATCATAGTACATTATTCCAGGTCAAAGGCCCATGTAAATAGTCAGGTTTTTAGGCTCGAATTGAAGGTTTGGAGATTTGGGGCTAATCTATTCTCTTGAGGGAGGGCATTCCAGAGCCGGGGAGCCACCACCAAGAAGGCCCTCTCTCTCATCCCCACCAACCGCACTTGAGATGGTGGTGGGACTGAGAGAAGGGCCTCCCCAGCAGATTTCAAGGCCCACACTGGTTCATAGATGCAGACTCGAAGATAGGTTGGACCCGAAGTGTATAGGGCGTTATAGGTAATAATCTGCACTTTGACTTGGACCTGGAAACTTGTCAGGAGCCAGTGCAGCTGCTTCAATAGGGGAATGGTATGCTCCCTATAGCTAGCCCCAGTTAATAATATGACAGCCAACTTTTGTACTAATTGCAGTTTCCGAGCCGTCTTCAAAGGCAGCCCCACATAGGGTGCATTACAATAATCCATTCTGGATGTAACTAAGGTATGGACCACCGTGGCCAAGTCAGGCTTCTCAAGGTACAGTCGCAGCTGGCACATAAGTTTTAACTGTGCAAATGTCCCCCAGCCATCGCTGACACCTGAGTTTTAAGTGTCAGTGATGAATCCAGAACCCCCAGACTGTAGACCTGTGTCCTCAGGGGGAGTGTAACTCTGTCGAGCACAGGTTGTCACCCTATACTCTGACTGGCCTCGTGACTGACCAGGAGGACCTCTGCCTTGTTGGATTAAGCCTCAGTTTGTTGGCCAGGCACTGGTCCAGAATCCAAGGGGCTTCCTTGGAGTGAGGTGGAAAAGAGTAGTAGAGTTGTGTGTCACCTGCGTGGAGATGGCACCCAACTCCAAAACTCCGGATGACCTCTCCCAGCAGTTTCATGTAAATGTTGAAAAGCATAGGAGAGAGACTAGAACCTTGTGGGACCCCACAGGACAACCGCCAGGGACCAGAGCAGGTGTCTTCCAGCATTGCCATCTAAGTCTAATCCTCCAGTAAGGAGCAGAGCCACTGCAACGCAGTGGCCCAAGACCCATTCTGGACAGCCAATCCAAAAGGATACCATGGTCGATGGTATCGAAAGCCACTGAGATGTCCAAGAGAACCAGCAGAGATATTCTCCCCCTATCTAGTTCTCTGCGGAGGTCATTCACGAAGGCAACCAAAGCTGTCTCTGTTCTGTGACCAGGCCTAAAACCAGACTGTAAGAGATCAAGATAATCGGTGTCATCCAAGAATCCCTAGAGTCAGAACCAGACTCCAAATACTCCAGACTTTCCAAGGGATGGTAACTGTTCCTTTACTTAGACAGAAAAGGGAAACATTTACTATTATAGATCCAACTCTGAATAAGAGAAACTAAGAAAGATAATTCTTTTAAAAATTACAGGTACTCTACTAATGAACATTCAACAATGATCATTTATACCACTAATATGAACCTAGGCATTTTGTTAACATGTAATACATTCTTGGAGAAGACCGTTCACATGACTAATATTCTAATCCTCGATATGCTTACTTGAGAGGAAAAACTCCATTACATAAAGTAGGAATTGCTATTAAAGAAGCATGCAGGTTTGGTTTCTTTAAATTACACATCTATTTGTTATGTACAAGCAGATCCCAAACAAAATGGTGTTTTGCACTAAAGGATGCTCCTCCAAGGTGAGTTCCTAAAACATTGGGAGTCAAATCTGTCTGTAGAAATTACTCACAGGCTAAGCACAGCTTGCATGGAGATGAACAAGGCAGGCACATTGAAGGTCTCAAAAAACACTTCAGCGGCTCGCTCACGGTTTTTACGTGGATTCAGCGGTGCTTCTGTCAGGAGAACAGGATGCTGGTGGGCAAGAAGGCAAAAGATTCAACTATCTAGAACAAGGGTAGGCAAAGTTCAGTTTTAGGTTCACATGTAGATGTTTTCGTGGACCTCAACCTCTAAGCAATTTGTTTTGGTCAATTCACCTTTTAAACAGATTGGATCCCCACTCGCCCTTTAGCCTTTTAAAAATGCACATTCTTCCAACTGTTTCTGATTAATTTCTTTTTTGGTCTTTTTAACAGCACATGTGGTCCACAGAAGTTTCCAGCACAGGAAAGTGGACCCAAAATGGTTGCCCACCCCACTGTAGAACTGCACCGGGACAGCCCATGAGGACTTGGCCAATGAAGAAGTGACTCATTCCTGAGTGGTCACAATATATTTGTAGGCCTCCGTACAGATAGGAAAAGAATTAGCCACCTCAGACAACAGGTCCTCCTTCTTAATCACTGTTCAAATTGATAAGTAAAGGAAGTGAAGGAAAGCAAACTTATTGTACTAAATAGCTGCACAGGAAACATCTGGACAAAATTATTTGGCCAGGAAACTGCCTTGAAAAGATTTGATAAACTCAGTCCTTCAGAGAAACACCACATGAGAATCATGCAAACCACTCAGAAGAAGAAACAACACAGACATCCTGCCCGAGCATCCCATAGCTGAGTTTTTCTGCACTGTGATACATAGAAAAGAAGGTTTAAGACAAATGAAATTAAAAGCAATCTCTTCGGAGTTGCAATGACTTCACAGAACTGCCATTTCTGGAAGGGGTGGATTTTCACAGCAGCACCGATATTTCATTATGTGTATCGGTTCACAACACTGAATGGCAAAAATGGGTACAGAGAAAAAATACCTTTGATTCAAGTACATTTCAAACTTTCAAAGGTGCAACTCTTTGATTTAGTGAGTAGAAGCAGCTGTAGGCAATTAAAATAGCCATGGAATGCAATGAAAAGGCTATTCAGGTGTTTATAATGGAAAATAACAGGGCTGAAAAGCAGCTGTCCCAAACACCAATGCAAAAGCCTGCTTGGCATTTGAAGAAGTCAGCTCACCTCTTCCGAGAAAGTCTGGAGTTGGTCTTTGGAGTATACATACTGCCAAATGCGTTCCATGTCATTCCAGTCCTTCACAATGCCATGTTCCATAGGATAGCGTATGGAAAGAAGACCTCTGTGCTCCTAGCCAAAGTAAGGAAACAAGGCAGCAAAGCAGTCAGAAGAAGAGCCAGATAAATCACCCATTATTATAATCTGGATCTAGGAAGGGGTTTTGAGAAACAATTGCAAAATTGCAGTTGCCAGCTCCACACAAGTACAGAGTATTAATCACCCTATGGATTCACCCATACAACTACACACAATAAACCTGAACAAATCAAGAATGACAACATCAAGAGATGTGTTTAGTTGCATTACTGAAAGTATCTTCTCTAAATCTGCATGCTGCATCACTACAAAATCTGATAAGATCGTCACATCTGGACTTAATTCAAATTTGGTGTCAGAACTGGAATGGAGACAAATGCCTCTATTCTCAACATGCCTAGCAAATTAAGTACAGAAAGCTATATACATAATAAGTAAATAAATAAATATTACTTAGTTTTTCAGGTAAGATACTGCCTAATCTTAATATAAGTTGATCATTTGACTGACACCCAGTTCCTAAATCTAAGGTGGTGACTAAGTGGTTTCCCCAATATTGATGGACTGCAGCTTTCATCATCCCTAAGCAAACAAAAGGGATGATTGAGCTGTCCATGTCTGTCCAGCCCAAATTAACCATTAGAGTGAACTCAGCACTTTACTGCAACCCTGGCCCTATAATTTGCTATTTGCACAAACCCACAACCAACCCTCCCTAATTACTGATCTTGCCCATCTTATTCCTGGTTCTGGTTAGTGAGGTTTGTTTTGGTTCATTTTAATGTTGTTTTTATACTTTGATGTTTTAAATTGTTTAATTAGATTGTTATATGTTTATTTTGTTTTTAAATGTGTTTCTAGTGATAAACTGTTGTGTTGGGCTTGGTCCCATTTGTAAGCCCCCCAGAGTCCTTTCCAGGAGATGGTGGTGGGATGTAAAAAAACAATTATTAAAGATTGGGAGGAACTACAGTCCAACTACATCTGGAAGGCTGTATGGTTCCCATCACTGCCTAATACACATCAGGCATTGGATGTATGCTGGCAATTGCAACACAAATTATACAAAATATGACCACAAGGATGATCTACCATTTAGCACACACAGACACACACAATGTGCAAATTTTTATATGTATGAGGATGAGTCAAAAGTTACCCGCATTCTGGTTGTGGAATTTATTTGAGTCAACTTTCAGAAAATACATCATTTTTTACAGAATCCCCTGCTTTTCAATATACTTTGTTATCCATCAGCAAGCTTTCATATTCCCTTATTAAAAATGCTTTAGGCTGAGCTGTGAGTCGCAAATGCGAGGCCGTCTTCAGCTCTTCATCAGACATACATCTTGGTCCTCACAGGGCTTCTTTCAGATGATCCAATGGGGCAAGATCAGGACAATAGGGAGGACCTTAAACATTTCAAAATGAAGTTTTTGGAGAGTATAGACCAGGGGTCCTCAAACGTTTTAAACAGAGGGCCAGGTCACAGTCCCTCAAACTGTTGGAGGGCCGGATTATAATTTGAAAAAAAAAATGAATGAATTCCTATGCACACTGCACATATATTATTTATAGTGCAAAAAACACTTAAAATAACGCAATAATTACAATGAAGAACAATTTTAACAAAAATAAACTTATTGATATTTCAATAGGAAGTGTGGGCCTGCTTTTTTTGATGAGATAGGATTGTTGTTATTGTGTGCTTTCAAGTCATTTCAGACTTAGGTTGATCCTGAGCGAGGGTCGGGTAAATGACCTTGGAGGGCCGTATTTGGCACATGGACCTTAGTTTGAGGACCCCTGGTATAGACAGTAAGGACAGCAACATTGTCATAAATAACACAATGTCCTTGGATAGCAGACCTCGTGACAAAACACTTTCTCCATACTGTGAACAAAGTATTTGATAAATATCAGCACCAGATACACCATCTGAATTTAAAAGCCCCAAATCTCTACTCTTCTTTCTTGCACATCGAAAGGAGGGCAGTCACTTTTTCTTTCATTGCAGTCGCAGATTAACTGAGGTAACACTTTAAAAACTGTACAGCACTGACTGGGGAGGTAGCTACCTCTTACAGAATGTGGTGATAAGACAGTGCAGCCAACATAAATTTTAATATAACCAGAGTGTGGATAATTTTTGACTCAACCTCATATAGGTATAATGAAAAATCAGAAATGGATCCCAGGAATCGAATACATCTCGCATAACCCTTTTGTTTGGATGAAGTTGCCCTGTCTTGTTAACAGAAGGACCATATAAATGACATGTGAAGATACAAGCAAAGGCTAGAACTAGGTTGTTAATGTAGACAGATGGGGTTTATGCAATATGGTTGACATACCTCTGCTTTTGGTCCTATAAAAATGTCACCTTCCAAAGCTCCAGCCATAACACGAACATGCTTTGGTCTGCCCACACTGAAAAAGATTGTGCACAAAATGAATGCTGGCTCTGCCAAGACAAGGCATAGAGAAAATAATCAAAAGCTTCAATGGAGAGACATCACTCATGAAACAAGAATGGAACAGTAAGGAAGCTCCTGAATTAAAAGATAAAGGTAAAGGATTCCCTTTGACATTAAGTCTAGTTGTGTCTGACTCTGGGAGGTGGTGCTCATCTCCATTTCTAAGCCGAAGAGCCGGCATTGTCCATAGATGCCTCCAAGGTCATGTGGCCAGCATGACTGCATGGAGCACCGTTACCTTCCCACCAAAGTGGTACCAACTGATCTTTTCACATTGGCATGTTTTCGAACTGCTAGAAGCTGGGGCTAACAGCAGGACCTCACCCTGCTCCCCGGATTCGAACCGCCGACCTTTCAGTCAGCAGGTTCAGCTGTTTAACCCACTGTGCCACCAGGGGGCCAGCTGCTGAATTACTGTGAAGTAAATGAACAAAAGGGCTGCAGTTTGCTTGCAGTTTTGGGGAACACCTTGTGAAGATTAGCTCAGGGTCCAAAATATCTCGGCGTTGAGGGAATGTATTTTATAATATAGACAAATTATTAGATCATCAGAATTACTATGAAAAGCTTGTTGTTAAACCAAGCACAGATTCAGGGACCCAATGGCTCCAAATACATAATGTAATACACACTTAATATGGAATGCATGTCACACTCGTAAAATCCCCAAGTACCACCAGAGTACTTACTAGTTTGGAAAACAGTACTTGGGTATTTGATCACCTGCAAAGCCAGCTTTAATCATGCCAGACCCCTGCCGAGAGAGAGAATAAAAAACAACAATAGTGTTAAAACCACTCTTTCACTGACCATGAGGTGTGTCCATCTCTGTATGAATTAAGTAGGTGTAATATAAAACTTCACAAAAGGGACCTTATTAATCCCTCAAACATTGTACATCTACTCAATCGCACAAATTTTAGGCTCAAAAATGTTTGGTTGGAATGTCAGTGTCCTTCCAAGACCACTAGAGGGAAGAAATTCGGATTTTCTCTCTTTCCCCAAGTGATAGACCACACAAGCAGAGTTCCTTTGAACAGCTTGTTAATTCTTTTTCATATTAAATAATCGAGAAACTTCTGCTGGCAACCTGACAAGGCACAAGAGAGATTTATAAAGAAGTTCCAGAGGAGATGCAAAGAACAAGCACAATCCACGGCTAGACCATATTTCTCAGAAAAAGGGCTTACTACTCCCCACTTTACATTTTGCTTTTAGAAGCTTTTGGAAAAAATATCATGTAAGGCATTACAGAAAGCACAGAACAACTTCCCAGACTGTGATCTGTTTTCATTTGCTCCGCTCTTTCATCCCTGTTTGATCTCCACCATGATATCTCATTATTTACTGCTTATCACTGAACATTCCTCAGTGTGAAGATTTTGGCATGATAAAATGCTGCTTTCAACAGTATCTTTCAACAGCTGTAAAAAAAAAGTGAAATAGACCTCTTTGATCCTGCAGATGTTTTGGATTTTAATTTTGAGAAACTGCAGCCAGCACTGAAAGTGGCAAAGAAGTATGGTAGCAGAAGTCCAAAACATGAAATGGGGAACATTAGTTGCCCAGCAGTAACAGACTATGAAAATCACAGCTCTAAACATTTGGAGAACTAAAATTCCCTACCCCTAGTTTCAGTAAGAAATCAGGTTGAGCATTCCTTTTCCAGAATTTTGAAATCCAAAATTGTGACTGAAATAGCAAAGGGTCAGAAATTCAAAAAACTTCTGGTCCCAAGCATTTTGGATAAGGGATACTCAAAAAGCAGTGCGAGGAGGATCTGTCGTACAAAATATTTTCTCAAAGCCAACATGGAAGAAGTACAGTAGTTTATGATTATATTTATTTATACTTTGTTTTTTCTCTGCCAAAGGAGACTCAAAGGGGCTAATGCTGAAAACCATAACAACGTTTAAATACACAGCAATGCATACTGGAAAAGCACAGCTAACATGACACAATATCTGAATTTAAAACAGAGTTAAATTAGTCTCCTCCAGCAGTTGACTTTTAGACTAGGCACTGATATACATGCATACATAAATACATACATAGATATATTACATATGCTTATTTTTAACGGATGCTTGCATTGAATTATATATTTATAACTGACTGTAGATTATGTGTTTATTTAATATGTTGTTGTTGCCTAACTGAATCCATGAGAAGAGACTAGCTAATTATTACTATTATTATTATTATTATTATTATTATTATTATTACACCCACGTAGTGATGTCAACAGACTCTACCTGCGCAGAAAATCAGGAGACAGAGGGCTTCTACAAGTGAAACAAACAGTAGAACAGTGGTTCTCAACCTGGGGTCCCCAGATGTTTCTGGCCTTCAACTCCCAGAAATCCTAACAGCTGGTAAACTGGCTGGTATTTCTGGGAGTTGTAGGCCAAAAACATCTGGGGACCCCAGGTTGAGAACCACTGCAGTAGAAGAAGAGAAACATGCACTGGCAAATTATGAGAAAGACAGTAAAAACCAGCATTGATGGAAGTCAATAGTAGAAAACTGCTTAAATTGCAAAAGTCAAAGAGTGGATACTGTAAAAATACAGTGCAGAGCAGAAGAGACAACTGGCAAAAGAAGGTTCTCCATGGACAGTTCCTGGGAAAAATTGAGAGCAAAATTTACAAGGAAAAAACATGGATGTGGCTCACAAATGGAATTTTGAAAAAGGAGACTGGTGACCTGATTCTTGCAGCTAAAGAACAAGCAATTAGAACAAAATGCCATCAAAGCCAGAATTTAAAAGTCAACAGCAGATTCCAAGTGTAGACTCTGCAAGGAAGCAGACAAAACAATGGATCACAGCCTCAGCTGCTGGAAGATCATGCAGACAGAAGACGGACTATAAGCTGAGACATAATACTGTTGCTCAGAAGATCCATTGAAACTTGTGCCACACATACCATCTGCCCGTGGCAAAGAACTGGTTGGATCACAAGCCTGAAAAGGTTACAGAAAATTAACACATAAAACTACTCTGGGACTTCCAAATTCAGACTGACAGTTTTGGAGCACAATACTCCTGATCTCATGATCATGAAAAGAACAAACAAACAAAGTATGGATTGTCGATGCTGCAATTCCAGGCAACAGCAGAATTGACGAGAAACAACTAGAAAAGCTTACATACACTATATGAGGGTTTAAAGATCGAACTGCAAAGATTCTGGCACAAGCAGTAAAGGTGGTCCCAGTAGTGATCAGCACATTGGGTGCAGTGCCTAAAGACTTTGGCCAGCACTTAAAAACAATTGGCGCTGACAAAATTACCATCTGTCAGCTGCAAAAGGCCACCCTGCTCAGATCTGCACATATTATTCACTTGGCACTAAAAATATCACCATATGTCAGCTGCAAAAGGCCACCCTGCTCAGACCTGCACATATTATTTGCTGATACATTTCATAGTCATAGACACTCTGGAAGTATGCCAGATTTTGTATTGGACATTATATCCAATACAAAAGCCAGCATAGTGATGTTGTTTGCTGTGTACTAATCTTGTGTATCAAATAATAATAATAATAATAATAATAATAATAATAATAATAACAATAATAATAATAATAGACATCACGATTGTGGAAAAGAAAAAAAGTCTGGATTATTGATATCGCCATACCAGGTGATAGTCGCATTGAGGAAAAACAACAGGAAAAACTCAGCCACTATCAAGACCTCAAAATCGAACTGCAAAGGCTCTGGCATAAACCAGTACAGGTGGTCCCAGTGGTCATTGGCACACTAGGCGCCGTCCCAAAAGATCTCAGCCGACATTTGGAAACAATAAACATCGACAAAATCACGATCTGTCAACTGCAAAAGGCCACCTTACTTGGATCTGTGTGCATCATTTGAAAATATATCACACAGTCCTAGACGCTTGGGATGTGTTTGACTTGTGATTTTGTGATATGAAATCCAGCATATAGATCTTGTTTGCTGTGACATACTGTGTTTTTGTGTCAATAATAATAATAATCATAATAATGATACCAGCATAGTGATCTTGTTTGCTGTGTACTAATTTTGTGTATCTAATAATAATAATAATAATAATAATAATAATAATAATAATAATAACAACAACAACAACACACACTGAGATAATGTACAACAGCTGCTTGGGTTGCATCTACATACACTGTAGAATTAATGCAGTTTGACCTTAACTATGGAATCATGAGATATGTAGTTTGGGGAGGTACCAACACTCTTTGGCAGAAAGGACCAAAGACTTTGTTAAACTACAACTCCCAGGATTCCGCAGCAGTGAAAGAAATGTCAAACTGCATGAATTCTAAGGTGCGCCTTTGGTTGTTGCTAGAATCATAGTACTGAGCCACACCTTCTTTTGCCTCTCCACAGCCAACCAATCAGAGCGAGCGACGCAAAACTCAAAGGTCAAGAGTACCCATAAACACAACCAAAGAGCCAATAACCGCCTATAGACCCCAAAGAGGCGGGCCAAAGGAATCTCGGAAGGCGATTAGCTAACTGAAAGAAAAATGGCAACAGGAGTGGCCAATCAGGAGGCGGAGAAGCCCGAAAGGCGTACCTTAGATTCGGATTTTACGCCACTGCTCTGCAAAGAGAGCTGTTCGTTTCTGAGTGACAAGAGAATCGGCCAATGAGAGTGCGGGCTCTGTCATCGAGAGGGAGAAAAGAAAGACCAGCCTCGGCTAGCCGGTGAGAAGGGATGGAAGGCCGAAAGGAAGAGTCAGGGAAGCGGCCTCTTCGACGGCATGGCTTTAAAGCGGGAAGCACATCCCCCGCAGCGACTGGGGCAGCCCTGCCCTCCCCCACCGCTTCACAAGACGTCCCCCTTTCTGGGGGATGGACTCACATTGTCAATCACCACCGGCTGGTTCGCGATCACATCATAAGACTCCATGGCGAGCGCCCGCGCGCCGCCGCCGATCCTGCCGCCTCTGTCGCTGCCTCAGACGAGCTCGGTAGCAGGGCGCATGCGCGGCAGGAACCGCAGCGCAAGGCATGCCGGGGAAGCGAGTCTCTGAGGGGGAAACTAAGCCCCGCCCAGTTCCCTTTGCCTGAAACAGAAACAGAGGCCACCATTTCATTCTGTCATTTCAGAGTGAAAGGAAGCAAAAAATGTGTACAGTGAACCATCAGAAAGCAAATAAACACAGAAAGTTAAGATAATGAAGGATACTATTAAAGTAAAAAAATACAAATAACATTAATAATAATAATAATAATAATACACACTAAGATAATGGACAACAGCTGCTTGGGTTGCATCTACACTGTAGAATTAATGCAGTTTGACCTTAACTATAGAATCCTGAGATATGTAGTTACAACAGCAAAACAACAGGGGAAACAGTCAGGCACATCTAATCACCTCTCAACAAAAGATTGCCCCAGGCACTGCCAGGCCATCAAATGCTAATCAAGGTGGTCAGTTGAAACATTCACACCAAGCTCCAGCAGACAAGAGTCCTTTGTCCCACCCTGGTCATTCCACAGATATATAAATCCTTTTTTCCTAGCTCCAATAGACCTCACTACCTCTGAGGATGCTTGCCATAGATGCAGGCAAAACGTCAGGAGAAAATGCCTCTAAAACATGGCCATATAGCCCAAAAAAAACCACTACAAGAACCCAACATTAAGAATATTAAATGAGGTGGATCAACCTGTTGCACTGTTACTGATTTATTCATGTTCAGCTCTATTTTTGTCACCAACATGAATTGCATTTTTAAATACTGATTGTACTATTATTAACTGCTTGTCGCACAGTTCAGAAACAATCTAGGTTTCATGTTGTTGTTCATTCGTTCAGTCGTCTCGACTCTTCGTGACCTCATGGACCAGCCCACGCCAGAGCTCCCTGTCGGCTGTCACCACCCCCAGCTCCTTCAAGGTCAGTCCAGTCACTTCAAAGATGCCATCCATCCATCTTGCCCTTGGTCGGCCCCTCTTCCTTTTGCCTTCCACTTTCCCCAGCATAATTGTCTTCTCTAGGCTTTCCTGTCTCCTCATGATGTGGCCAAAGTACTTCAACTTTGTCTCTAGTATCTTTCCCTCCAATGAGCAGTCGGGCTTTATTTCCTGGAGGATGGACTGGTTGGATCTTCTCGCAGTCCAAGGCACTCTCAGAACTTTCCTCCAACACCACATCTCAAAAGCATCGATCTTCCTTCGCTCAGCCTTCCCTAAGGTCCAGCTCTCACATCCGTAGGTTACTACAGGGAATACCATGGCTTTGACTAGGCGGATCTTTGTTGCCAGTCTGATGTCTCTACTCTTCACTATTTTATCAAGACTGGACATTGCTCTCCTCCCAAGAAGTAAGCGTCTTCTGATTTCCTGGCTACAGTCTGCATCTGCAGTAATCTTTGCCCCTAGAAATACAAAGTCTGTCACGGCCTCCACGGTTTCTCCTTCTATTTTCCAGTTGTCAATCATTCTTGTTGCCATAATCTTGGTTTTTTGTTGCCATAATCTAGGTTTCATACATGTCTCCTATTTATTTATTTATAATATTGCATTGCAAAGAAGTCATTATACAAACACATTCCAGCCGATGCATGTTGGGCTTGCTACTATGCTAATAATGTAGTATGTTGTATGTACATATGACTTTGTAAGCCGCTCTGAGTCCCCTTCGGGGTGAGAAGGGTGGCATATAAATGTCATAAATAAATAAATAAATACGTGTCACCTATTTATAGTATTGCATTGCAAAGAAGTTTGTTTGTTGGTTACATCCCGTCTAGACTACTGCAACGCTCTCTACGTGGGGTTGCCTTTGAAGACGGCTTGGAAGCTCCAACTAGTCCAACGCTCGGCAGCCATGATACTAACAGGAGTGGAGCGCAGGGAGCATACAACTCCTCTGCTGCACCAGCTCCACTGGCTGCCGATTTGCTACCGGGCTCAATTCAAAGTGCTGGCGTTGGCCTATAAAGCCCTAAACGGTTCTGGCCCAAGCTACCTATCCGAACGTATCTCTGCCTATGAACCCACCAGGACTCTAAGATCTTCTGGGGAGGCCCTGCTCTTGATCCCGCCTGCATCACAAGCACGGCTGGCGGGGACGAGGGACAGGGCCTTCTCTGTGGTGGCCCCTCGGCTGTGGAACGCCCTTCCCATGGACATTAGATCAGCTCCTACGTTAATGGTGTTTCGAAGAAAACTAAAAACCTGGCTGTTTGAACAGGCATTCGGATAAACAGTGCAATGAATACGATGAATATAGGAACGGAATTATGGACGACGAATTGGATCACGATTCTAGCTACGAGATGTTAATGTGTTGTTATTGATGTGTCATCACTTTGTATACTATGCTGTTAATGGTTTTTAAATTGTATGTTGTTATGATTGTCTTTTGCTCTTGTTGTGAACCGCGTTGAGTCGCCTACGGGCTGAGAAACTGCAGTATACAAGCAAAGTAAATAAATAAATAAATAATTGGGGGTTTTTTTTCGTGTCAGGAGCAACCTGAGAAATTGCAAGTCGCTTCTGGTGTGAGAGAATTGGCCGTCTGCAAGGACATTGCCCAGGGGACACCCGGATGATTTTGATGTTTTATCATCCTTGTGGGAGGCTTCTCTCATGTCCCCACATGAGGAGCTGGCGCTGATATAGGGAGCTCATCCGCCTCTCCCCGGATTCGAACCTGCGACCTGTTGGTCTTTAGTCCTGGCAGCACTGCAAAGAAGTTATACAAAGACATTCCAGCCAATGCATGTTGGGCTTGACCGCTGATGGGTTATAACTTTAACTTTGTCTTTTCATTTGGAAAATAAAGTAATCTCTATGACCTTAACATTGTATTACACAACAGATGAAACATGTATTTTCTAAAATATCTTCTGTCTTAGATTCTCATAAGCCATTGCAATGTGAAACAACTTGAAATCGCATTATTTGATCAGCTTAGACTTATATATAATGCAATGCCATGCAATGCAGCTTGAAATTGCATTATGTGTTCAGTGTGGATTCATATATAATGCAGTGCCATGGAATACAACTTGAAATGGCATTATATGGTCAGTGTAGATTCATATATAATGCAGTGCCATACAATGCAGCTTGAAATGGAATTATATAGTCAGCATAGACTCATATATAATGCAGTGCCATGCAATGCAGCTTGAAACAGAATTATATAGTCAGCGTAAACTCATATATAATGCAGTACCATATAATGCAGCTCGACAAGGCAGAGTGTGGACTCATATCTAAGCCAGTGCCATGTAATACAACTTGAAACAGCATTATACGGTCAGCATAGACTCATATATAATGCAGTGCCCTGTAAACCTCCTTGAAACAGCATTATAAGGTCAGCATAGACTCATATATAATGCAGTGCCCTGTAAACCTCCTTGAAACAGCATTATACGGTCAGCATAGACTCATATATAATGCAGTGCCCTGTAAACCTCCTTGAAACAGCATTATATGGTCAGCATAGACTCATATATAATGCAATTCCATGCAATGTAGTTTGAAGCAGAATTATATGGTCAGTGTAGTCACATATAATGCAGAACGGCATTATATGAGTCTACCCTGATTGTATAATGCTGTTTCAAGTTGTATTATATAGCACTGGTCAATGTAGACTCATAATGCAGTGCCATGTAATACAACTTGAAATAGCAGTATATGGTTGGTGTAGACTCATAATACATTTTTGCAATATATGAGTCTACACTGAACATGTAATACTGTTTCAAGCTGCATTACATGGCAATGAAGATGGAGCCCTGAATGAATTTAATTGTTACAGTCACAGACCAAAAGTGTGAAACTTTAAAATATTAAAAACAGTTTTTTTATTGTTAACACTAAGAACAAAAATTTACAACATTAAAAGTAGGAAGTCCATAGAGTCAATCTACAAAGCTTCCTATGTGATGCTTATAAAATCTGTGGGTAAAAAAATTAATAAAATAAAACTTTTTCTGCTAAAATAATCTGCTTCCTTATTTTTATAACTGCCGCACAAAACTTAGCCACGCTATAATGAGTGGTGGATCTCTATCCTCTAGGAGATGTTTTAGATAATAGTCTTTTAGAAAACAAGTCTAGAAAATCTCCTTCTCGGCTACAACATTTCTGAGTTGAATTCTGCCTTGGACATGGATCAGTGGCAATTAAGACCCTTTCTATGCAGCCATATAATCCAGATTATCAAAGCACATAATCCAGATTATCTGCTTTGAACTGGATTATATGTGTCTACACTGCCATGTAATGCAGTTCAAGATAACCTGGATTTTATATGGCAGTGTAGAAGGGGCACTACTAGACTTAATGTTGGACACTACTAGAATTAATGTCAGGGCAAACCTTTACCTTTACCTTTTATTTACTTATTTATTTCACATTTTTGTATCCCGTCCTTCTCACCCCCGGAGGGGGACTCATGTCGGCTTCACAACCGGCATTTATTCAATGCCAACAACAGTAATAAATGATAAAAGCAATTAAAACAGTTTGTTAATGCTTTAAATTTACTAAAAATTGTTTAAATCACACAGGTTGAAATCATAGTCCAGTTCAGTCCATTGTCATTCACACAAATTGGGACTCATTCTACATTGCTGCCTCTACGTGAATGAATTCCTATGCACACTGCACATATCTTATTTGTAGTACAAAAAAAAAATAATTAAAATGAAAAACAATTTTAATATAAACTTATTAGTATTTCAATGGGAAGTGTGGACCTGCTTTTGGTTGGTAAGATTGTTGTTGTTGTTGTCTGCTTTCAAGTCGTTTCAGACTTAGGTTGACCCTGAGCGAGGGCCAGGTAAATGACCTTGGAGGGCCATATTCGGCCCTCGAGCCTTAGTTTGAGGACCCCTGATCTAGACACTATATTCCTATGGAGGCATGCCAAAATCTCATTGGCTTTTTTTGCCCTCACATCACATTGTTGGCTCATAGAATCATACAGTTGGAAGAGACCTCATGGGCCATCCAGTCCAACCCCCTGACAAGCAGGTATATTGTATTCAAAGCACCCCTGACAGATGGCCATCCAGCCTCTGTTTAAAAGCTTCCAAAGAAGGAGCCTCCACCACAATCCGGGGCAGAGAGTTCCACTGCTGAACGGCTCTCACAGTCAGGAAGTTCTTCCTAATGTTCGGGTGGATCTCCTTTCTTGTAGTTTGAAGCCAAGTCTCCAGGGCAGCAGAAAACAAGCCTGCTCCCTCCTCCCTATGGCTTCCCCTCACATATTTGCTGTCACATCAGCACTTTTAATCCTGTACCCATTACTCTGGCCCGGCCCAGTTTTATTGTGTCTTAGTGTCTTAGTTTATTGCTTGTTGTTTATATTGCTTTAATTGTTTTTAATTTGCCTTAATTTGTTTTGTTATTTTGTGTGTTGAGGCCTTGGCCTTTGTAAGCCGCATCGAGTCCTTCAGGAGATGCTGTTGTTCATTCGTTCAGTCGTCTCCGACTCTTCGTGACCTCATGGACCAGCCCACACCAGAGCTCCCTGTCGGCCGTCACCACCCCCAGCTCCTTCAAGGTCAGTCCAGTCACTTCAAGGATGCCATCCATCCATCTTGCCCTTGGTCGGCCCCTCTTCCTTTTGCCTTCCACTTTCCCCAGCATAATTGTCTTCTCTAGGCTTTCCTGTCTCCTCATGATGTGGCCAAAGACACAACTTTGTCTCTAGTATCTTTCCCTCCAGTGAGCAGCCGGGCTTTATTTCCTGGAGGATGGACTGGTTGGATCTTCTCGCATCCAAGGCACTCTCAGAACTTTCCTCCAACACCACAGCTCAAAAGCATCGATCTTCCTTCGCTCAGCCTTCCCTAAGGTCCAGCTCTCACATCCGTAGGTTACTACAGGGAAGACCATGGCTTTGACTAGGCGGAGATGCTAGCGGGGTACAAATAAAGTTTAATAATAATAATAATAATAATAATAATAATATTTATACATCGCCATCATGTCTCCTCTCAGCCTTCTTTTCTTCAGGCTAAACATGCCCAGCTCTTCAAGCTGCTCCTCATAAGGCTTGTTCTCCAGACCCTTTCTCCTTTCTCATTTCATGTTTAACTTGTTGTCCACGAGGACTCCAAGATGCACTGCTCTCGAGCCACGCGTCCCCCATTCTGTATCTTGACAGATATATCTTAATTTCTGCCAGGGATCTGCTGTATAATGGGAGTAATACAAAACAGAGATGGGGCCCTGCTTTCAGTGAACTAGTGAGGAGTGCATGCCTTGCAACGCCTCCCCACTGCCGCTAGGGGTCAGTCACGCAGAAAGGGTGTGTGGAAGAGGAAGGCGGGGCGCGTTGGGTCCTCGGAGGACATTCGCTGCGTCGCGATTGGCGGAGCCGCTTGCCCATCAGAGGCGCGGGAGGCGGGAGGAAAGAAAGGGGGATGTCGATGGAGAGCGCGTCTCCTGCCTGGGGTCGCTGAGGGGAGTCTGGAGCCTCCGTTTGGGCCTCGGCTTCCGTGGAGGGGGCTGAGGCGGGCGTGCTTTCTCCCTCCTTCGCTCCTTCCCTCATGGAGACCTCAGCGACCGCCTCTGCCACCTCGGGCCCCACGCCGGGCCCTTTCCCCCCGCTCTTCCCGCCGGGGCTGCACGGGATCTATGGAGAGTGCCGGCGCCTCTACCCGGAGCAGCCCAACCCGCTACAGGTCACCGCCATCCTCAAGTACTGGTGAGTCAGGCCTCGGGAAGGGGCAGACAAAGGCCCGAGGGCCCTCCACAGGCGCCCCCTTCGCTCAGGCTGCGTCTGGGCCAGCCTGGGCCCTCGAGGTGTTTTGGACTCCAACTCCCACCATTCCTAACAGCCTCAGGCCCCTTCCTTTCACCCCTCTAAGCGGGAAGGGAAAAGGAAAGGGCCTGAGGCTGTTAGGAATGCTGGGAGTTGAGTTCCAAAAAGTAACTTTCCTACTGGTTTTAGGAATGGTGGGAGTTGAGTCCAAAACACCTCGAGGGCCCAGGCTGGCCCATGCTTACTTTACACTATAGAATGAATGAGGTTTGACACCACTTGACCTGTATTTTCTGTTGGTCATGGAGGTTTCTGTGTAGGAAGTTTGGCCCAATTCTATCCAGGTGAACTATAAATTCCAGCAACTACAACTCCCAAATGTCAAGCTCTATTCCCCCCCAAACTCCACCAGTGTTCACATTTCACATATTGAGTATTCGTGCCAAGTTTGGTCCAGATCCATCATTGTTTGAGTCCAAAATACTCTCTGGATGGAGGTGATCTACAACTCCGAAACACAGTGTCCACCAAATCCTTCAAGTATTTTCTGTTGGTCGTGGGAGTTCTGTGTGCCAAGTTTGGTTCAATCCCTTCATTCAATTGGTTCAATTCCATCCTCTTCGATTGTAGTTTAACCACAAAGTGCTGGTTTTTACCTATAAAGCTCTTTATGGTTCTGGATCAGCTTAGTTGTCCGAACGCATCTGCCTCTACGTCCCACCTCGTAACTCATCCAGGGAGGCCCTGCTCTCGTTCCAGCCAACATCGCAAACATGGACGAGAGACGGCCTTCTCGGCTGTAGCCCCCCGCCTGTGGAACGCTCTTCCAAATGAAATAGGATCGACTCCATCCCTCCTGGCGTTCAGGAAGAAATTAAAATCTTGTTTTTGGGACTAGGCTTTTGGACAATAAACATAAAGCAGCACTTTGACTGGAAATTGATTGGCAAGACGATATGTATGAGGATATGGTTTTATGGTTCTATCAGTGGGTTTGTGGACTATTGTTTTAATGACTTATGATAATTTGGTTATAATTAACTGCTATTGTTTTAACTCTGTATGTATTTGTGGTTTTATACTGTGTTATTGATTGTGGCATCAAATTGCTGCCTTTGTTAGCTGCTCTGAGTCCCCCCCCCCCCAGGGGTTGAGAAGGGTGGGGTAAAAATGTTGTAAATAAATAAATAAAATAAACAAACTATAAGTCCTAGCAACAACAACTTGCAGGTGACATAATCAATGCCCCCCTCCCCCAACCTCACCAGTATTCGAATTTGGGCATGCCAGGTATGAGTGCCAAATTTGATCCAGTGAATGTAAATACATCCTGCATATCAGATACTTACAATTCATAACACTAGCAAAATTACAGTTATGAAAGTACCAACGAAAATAATTTCAGTCGTGGGATCACCGCAATATGAGGAACTGTATTAAGGGGTCATGGTGTTAGGAAGGTTGAAAAACACTGGTGTAGATGCACACTTGGATTTCTAAAGTGACCGAAAGTTGTTTTCTATTTATGGGAGAGAGGATCTTTTGAAAAGCTCGAGGAAGTGCTTTGAATTCATGGCTGCTGGTAGTGTTTGAATGGGAGGGGGTTGTTTTGATGGAGACATTGAGGGGTTTGAGGATAGAGGGGTCAGCATGAAAGCTTACATACTTATATTTCTTCTTACATATTGTTGTCCACATTGTTCCCCCCCCCCCCCCGATGGTTAAACGGCTGAGCTGCTGAACTTGCAGACCGAAAGGTTGGTGGTTTGAATCCGAGGAGCGGGGTGAGCTCCCACTATTAGTCCCAGCTTYTGCCAACCTAACCGTTTGAAAACATGCAAATGTGAGTAGATCAATAGACTGCTTCTGCAGGAAGGTAATGACACTCCATGCAGTCATGTCAGCCATATGACCTAGGAGGTGTCAGTGGACAACGCCGGCTCTTCAACTGAGAAATTGAGATGAGCACCAATCCTCAGAGTCGGACACGACTGGACTTAATGTCAGGGGAAAACCTTTACCTTTGTGAGCCGCCCCAAGTCCCTTTTACATAGGATCTGTATTACATTAGAACAGTAAAGACAAATATCACTTACGTAAAATAAACAGTAAATATTAAATAACAAAAAAAGGTGAAAGTCATTTCACATGTTCCATATCCTTCTATTGCGCTTGTTTGAAGGCTTGATTCCAAAGCCACAATTTCTCTCTTTCTGAAGGCCAGGAAAGAGGGGGCTGATCTTATATCACTGGGAAGGAAGCTCCACGGCTGTGGGACCACCAATGAGAATGCCCTGTCTCTCATCCCCACCAGTCATACCCACGAAGGAGGTGGAACAGAGCAGGGCCTCCCCTGACAATCTTAATCTCTAAGGCGGTTCATAGGGGGAGATGTGTTAGGACAGGTAAGCTGGGCATGGCATTGAATGTTTGCAAATTTATGTTTTGAAAGTCACCCAGAGTCCCCTTGGGGAGGGTTAAAAATAAAGTTTGTTTTATTATTATTACACTACTAAAAGGGGGTGGCGACTGTGGTATTTATTTGAAAAAAAATCATTTTATTGAATACACAACCAACAAATATACAAAAAAATCCATACAATATCAATATAAACACACCAAACACACTAAAGCAATACCGATCAAACACCTTCAGTTTAGTTTTCCACTTCTCATCATCTTCATTGTCTACTCATATTATTCTTAACCACAAATATATAAATTGGTTTTGTTATAAAATAAACACTTGTCATGTATTTACCACATAATATATATTCTGAGGTATTGTCACCTTATTTGCAACAAAATTTATTCGACTGCTTCTAGACTCTACATCAAGTTAACCAATAGAAAGTTATGGTACCATAAAATTTCCCAATTCATATCTCACAAATAAAATCACATATCAATCTATTAGTTCTGTTCAATGGCGTTTGTCTCACCAGTGTTCTTCTTTCCATCACCCCATGTCATTTATCATAAAAATTGTTAGCAGGCAATCTTTTCAGGTTTTTTTAAAGTCAGAAACAACTGCCAGTTATCTTGAAATCTTTGTATTTATTTGTTTTTTAAAAGGCAAGAAACTTTATCAAATACGGCTATCTGTATGTCAAATTCTTTTTGTCTCTTTCCCAGCTTGTGGCATCATTCAATTATTTATTTATTTATTTATTTACTTTATTTGTATACCGCTCTTCTCAGCCCTTAGGCGACTCAGAGCGGTTTACAACAGTTTAGATATACAGAATACAAAATCATTATGCATTTAAAAACAATTACTAGTATTATATTGCATTACATTACAATATTATAAATATTATATGTATATACAATATATTATATTATAACATATTATTAGAATAGCACAGGAGACAAGGTGGAACTGTCCCCTGGCCCCTCTTTCTTCGCTCTGGCCCAGAGCGGCAGTTGGTGCTGGGGGGAGGGGTCCCCAACGGATGGCAAATGCAGGAGACAAGATGGTGCTGTCCCCTAGCCTCCCCTCTCTTCGCAGCCAGGAAATCAGGAGACGCTTACTTCTTGGGAGGAGAGCAATGACCAATCTTGATAAAATAGTGAAGAGTAGAGATATCACACTGTAAACAAGTGAGTGAAATGTCCAGATTTGGATCTGAAATGGGATGTAGCTTTTAAGAATTTGGAGAGGTTCCTATATGTGTATGTTGTAGTCAGGCGACAGGTTGATGTGGCATGGCTGACAAATGGCTGCGTTTGCTAGGAAGCGGCCTGAAGTACTAGTTGTTATGGTGAAACTTGACAGGTCTGATGAATTGAATCTTTCTTTACTTTTGTGATCAGTATTCATCGTTTTCTCAAAATGTGTAACAGACTAATAAAAGTGTAAGTAATGTCTGTTAAACATCTTTGAGGATTAGCTGAGAATCTTTACTTTTACTGAGGATAAAACTAATAAAATACCTTAAATATTCTCTGAGTATTTGACACTTGATCACTGCACATTTTTAAACTTTGAGGAGCTTTCTGCATTCAGTCTCTGCAATATCTTTTATGATATCCTGTATCATACTTTTGAAGAAACACATTCTTTTCTCTCTAGCCATTTTTCTCTATGCTGCTTTCTTTTTTCCCTACCCTTCTCTTACAAAGAAAACTAGTGTGTAACTGACTTTAATACAGATCAATGTATCTATGTTTGATAGTATGCATGTTGGTGATGATCGTGGCTAGTCTATAGAAATTATTTCAATAACATTAGTTAACAGGTACATATTTAATCAGAACTATACACTATGTTTGTACATGTGCCTATCAACTTATGATGAACCAATGAATTTCATAGCAAAGTATACTCAGAGGTGGTTTTGGCAGTTCCTTCCTCTTAAAGGTAACCACAGCCCCTAGTATTCTTTGGCAATGTTCCATTCGATTACTAACCAAGGGTGATCTTGCATAGCTTCCAAGATCAGAAAGGATCTCATTCCTTCAGGGTATTTATGGTAAGCCTCTCTCAATTTACACTTTGATATTTCCTGTACATTACCTGGCTTCTTTTACTATCTCATTTGCTCATCCATCCCATTAATGATCTCTGACTTGATACTCAAATATTCTTTCTGACTGAATAGGCAGTTCTGCTGGACCTAGTTTTTTGATGACAAATAAGGCAAAGATTACTGCAGACGCAGACTGCAGCCAGGAAATCAGGAGACGCTTACTTCTTGGGAGGAGAGCAATGACCAATCTTGATAAAATAGTGAAGAGTAGAGATATCACACTGTAAACAAAAATCCGCATAGTAAAAACAATGGTTTTCCCCGTAGTCACCTACGGATGTGAGAGCTGGAGCTTAGGGAAGGCTGAGCGAATGAAGATAGATGCTTTTGAATTGTGTGTTGGAGGAAAGTGCTGAGAGTGCCCTGGACAGTGAGAAGATTCAACCAGTCTATACTTCAAGAAATAAAGCC